ACAGCATCCTTCTCTTCTCGAGGCGGCTCATGTATTAATTTTTAAAATCGATCTTTATCAGAAAGAAAGAAACCTCTCCTTATTCCATGCCCCGTTCCTTCGATTTGAAGAACGGACTATCCATTAGTGTCATCGATCGGGAAAAGAAGTGTGGATCATCAAAACAAGCGTTCCCTCAACTCTTATTTATTTATTTATTGATTGATTGATTGATTGATTCGATTTATATGCTGCCCTTTCTCCGGAGACTCAGGGTGGCTTACAATGTGTTAAGCAATAGCCTTCATACTTTTGTATAGACCTGCTTAGTAGAGCTTTCGGCCCCCCCAAACAGTGTTCTTTTTAATACAAAGTCAGCTTATTGCCCCCACAATCCGGGTCCTCATTTTACCTACCTCGGAAGGATGGAAGGCTGAGTCAACCTTGAGCCTGGTGAGAATTGAACTCGCAGTAATTGCAGGCAGCTGGTGTTACTTAACAGCACTTTAGTCTGCTGCGCCACCAAGGCTCTTGTTAGGTTTGGCTTCCCCTTCTATTACCCATCGGCAACCTTAAACGCTCAAAGAGCCATTTGGATCCGTTTCCCACAGAAAAGAAAACACCGGGAGCCACAAAACCCTTTGGACATCTAAAATGAAGATAACACGGCATATATCTTTTTTAACCTTTATGCTATGTATAAAAAAACGATAGTGCGTTGCATTTATGAAATCAGTGACCTGCTAGAGAGAAAACCACATTTTTATTTCTGCATGCAACAAAAACATTTTGAACTCCGAAAAAAAAAAAAAAAAAGATGGGTCGAAAAACTCAATAAATCACGTGCCGGCGGGTGTCGCACATTGGCGATTGTGATTCATATTTTGAGTGACAGGGAGCCGCAGCAGAGGGATGAAAGAGCCACATGTGGCTCCAGAGCTGCAGGTTGCAGACCTCTGCCCTAGAAGAAGACACATTCCAGCCTTCCATGGAAATGCCTTCATCCTTCACCACCATCCAATGAACAGCTTCTACACGCCAGGTGAGCAAACCTTCTCCCTTACTTCTCCGGCATCCAAGGGACATTTTCTGCAGGCTGGGTGAGCAAATCTATCTCCCAAAAAATCCTCTGAATCTGCATTCAAAAAGGATCCAGGAATCCAGAGCTCCATATGGGCATCGGGAAGCTAGGACTCGCGTCTTCTGACAGCAAGACATCTGGTTGTTCCAAAACAAGGTACAGCACATGGAGCCATGTGGGCGCTGTTGGCAAAGTTGTCCTACCAGCTGGTAGAGCTGGGATTCTTCCAGGATTAATTTTTGTTGGAAGCCCATCCTCCTGCGCCGATCGAAAATCCGTACCTCATCGAGATCTTCAGGAAGGGTCAATGTAGAAATAGTAATGGCACGTAGACTTATATACCGCTAATACAGCTCTCTCTAAGCGGTTTACAGAGTCAGCCTCTTGCCCCCAACAATCTGGGTCCTTGTTTTACCCACCTTGGAAGGATGGAAGGCTGAGTCAACCTGGAGCCTATTGAGATTCCAACTGCCAAATTGCAGGCAGCCAGCAGTCAGCAGAAGGAGCCTGCAGTACTGCATTCTGACCACTGCGCCACCATGATCCCGCTCTCCCTTCCTCCCTCCCTCCCTCCCTCCCTCCCTCCCTCCCTTCCTTCCTTGCCATGGTGACACAGTGGTTGGGATGCAGCATTACAGGCTGACTCTGCCCACAGCCAGGAGTTCGATCCTGACCGGTTCAAGGTTGACTCAGCCTTCCATCCTTCCGAGGTGGGTCAAATGAGGACCCAGATAGTTGGGGGGCAAGAGGCTGACTCTGTAAACTGCTTAGAGAGGGCTGTGAAGCACTGTGAAGCAGTATAGAAGTCGAAGTGTGATTGCTTCTTTCCTTCCTTTCCTTTCTTTCTCTATCTCCCTTTTCTCCTTCCTTCCTTCCTCACCTACCTCCCTACCTCTTGTCCTTCCTTCCTTCCTTCTTCCTTCCTTCCTTCCTTCCTTCCTTCCTTCCTTCCTTCCTTCCTTCCATCCTTCCTTCCCTCCCCATGGTGGCACAGTGGTTATAATGCAGCACTGCAGGCTAACTCTGCCCACTGCCAGGAGTTCGATCCTGACCGGCTCAAAGGTTGACTCAGCCTTCCATCCTTCTGAGGTTGGTTAAAATGAGGACCCAGATTGTTGGGGGCAAGAGGCTGACTCTGTAAACTGCTTAGAGAGGGCTGTGAAGCACTGTGAAGCGGTATAGAAGTCGAAGTGTGATTGCTTCTTTCCTTCCTTTCCTTTCTTTCTCTCCTTCCCTTTTCTCCTTCCCTCCTTCCTCACCTACCTCCCTACCTCTTGTCCTTCCTTCCTTCCTTCCTTCCTTCCTTCCTTCCTTCCTTCCTTCCTTCCTTCCTTCCTTCCTTCCCCATGGTGGCACAGTGGTTATAATGCAGCACTGCAGGCTAACTCTGCCCACTGCCAGGAGTTCGATCCTGACCGGCTCAAAGGTTGACTCAGCCTTCCCATCCTTCTGAGGTTGGTTAAAATGAGGACCCAGATTGTTGGGGGCGAGAGGCTGACTCTGTAAACCTCTTAGAGAGGGCTGTATTAGCGGTATATAAGTCTTAAGCGCCATTACTATTCCTTAGCTGCTTCGACTAGCTTCACATTTCACTCTAAACCACCACGGGGGGCCTTGGCTGAGAGAGAGCGAGTCCTAGGACTCAGTTGACAAACAATGGTTTCAAATCATGGTTTAGCGCCTGGCTTGCTGAAATGCTCAAAAGTCTTAAGCAGATGTCTACACGGGCTCTTTTTTTCCCCTCAATCCCGGAGATCCTACCGACGACGACGTAAGCCGGCTTCTCAGGCAGAGTCGGGGTGCCTTGCCAAGGGACCGTATGTTCCCGGATGAATTTCAATGTTCCGAAAAAGCAAAACTGGCCAGCTTTTCTGCCTGGCATTCAAGTAAGAAGGCCTTTCTTTCTGACTCACAGCGAACAATGGACGAGAAAGCGGAAGAGAAAGTGAGCGACGGGGGGTTTTAAGCTCCCTTTTCATGGCCTGAGACAAACAGGCCTTTGTTTGAGTTTTTTTTTTTGTGTGTGTGCTTTTTTTCCAGAAAACGGAGGGCGCAAGGCTCTCGTCTTGCCGTCTCTCCGTGACCACCACTCCACGGGGTTGTGAGAAACCCCAAAAATGAGTTACGAATCCCAGGGAGATGTGGGCCAACGTGATGTAATTGCAATGCTCGACGATGGGGATGGGGATAGGGTGGGTGGTGGGTGAGGGCGTTATCTTTGCAACGGGGGAAAGGCTTCAGTTGTTACTGAGTTGGCAGGGAGGATGTAAATCCCATTATGGGATCCTAGAGTCTAATAATAATAATAATAATAATAATAATAATAATAATAATAATAATAATTTTATTTCTATACCGCCCTTCTCCCGAAGGACTCAGGGCGGTGTACAGCCAATTTAAAAACACAAGACACAACAATAATTAAAAATTAAAATAATTAAATAGATTTGGCCGATTTAAAACCCCAAAAATTAAAATACCCCAATTTAAAATTATTATATTGACAGCCCTGCTTAGAAGCTGAAGGGAGCCGAGTCCAATTAGGATGGGGTTTCCTTGCTTCGGAAGCGATCTGATGCATTTTGTTCAAGTGGTGGAATTCATTTTTTTTTTTTACTACCGGTTCCGTGGGCGTGGCTTGGTGGGCGTGGCAGGGGAAGGATCTTGCAAAATTCGCCCCACTCCTGGGGGAAGGATATTGCAAAATCTCCATTCCTACCTCACTCCTGGGAGAAGGATACTGCAAAATCCCCATTCCCTCCCCACTCCTGGGAGAAGGATACTGCAAAATCCCCATTCCTTCCCCACTCGTGGGGGAAGGATACTGCAAAACCCCCATTCCCATCCCACTCTTAGGGGAAGGATACTGCAAAATTCCCACCCCACTCCTGGGGGAAGGATATTACAAAATCTCCATTCCCTCCCCACTCCAGGGAGGATATTGCAAAATCCCCATTCCCACTCCACTCTTGAGGGAAGGATACTGCAAAATCCCCATTCCACCCCACTCCTGGGGGAAGGATATGGCAAAATCTCCATTCCCTCCCCACTCCTGGGGGAAGGATACTGCAAAATCTTCATTTCCTCCCCACTCCAGGGAGGATATTGCAAAATCCCCATTCCCACTCCACTCTTTGGGGAAGGATACTGCAAAATCCCCATTCCACCCCACTCCTGGGGGAAGGATACTGCAAAATCTTCATTCCCACCTCACTCTGGGGGAAGGATATTGCAAAATCTCCATTCCCACCCCACTCTGGGACCAGCCAGAGATGGTATTTGCCGGTTCTCCGAACTACTCAAAATTTCCGCTACCGGTTCTCTTGAACCTGTCAGAACCTGCTGGATTTCACCCCTGATTTTGTTCCTTGTAAGCATCCTTGAAAACTTTGGTTCTACCTGAAGGAGAAAGTGGATGTTTCATGGAGACGCAACCTGACCTCATCTGTTGGAGAAATGTTGGGTTTCAAGTTAAAACGGTTGTTCCAGGTTGCCCTTAGCTGAGCCTGTCGTACCGACGTGGCCACCACGATTTCTAAACTTTGGTACCGACGGAAGAAAATATTTGTAGCTCAATGGTGGAATCCTTGAGGCTCTCTTGTTTTCTTGCAGACGTTTTACTACCCAACTAGGTAACATCATTAGTGCTAGAAGGGAGAGGGGCTTCTGGAAAGGAGGAGGAGGAGGAGGAGGAGAGAGAGAAGGAGGAAGAGAACTGTGGGATCCTTGGTGTTCTCGGAGCTTGGTTGCATTTTTGGAGACGTTTCATGACCCAACTGTCAGCATTCAAATGCTGCCATAAAGAGACGGAGAAGAGGCTTGACCTCTCACCTAGTTATTTTCTCTGTAGATAATGTCTCCGAGGAGATGGGATGGGAGGGGGACATTCCTGGGGTTGGAGGCTGGAGCTGGGAAGATTGATTTGGAAGATGGCCAATAAGATGTGAATTGGGGAACGGAAAGGGAAGGATTTCGGGGTCAAAGGCTTAGTATCGGCTGCGATGAGTCGGGGCCAGATCTGTCCTACTCAATAAATGGAATAAATGGTGCAATTTATTTGAGATGATATCGAAACCTGACACCAGCTAGGTGTCATCATCCCTTCAAACCCTACTCCCTTCTAGCACTGATGGTATTACCTAGTTGGGTCATGAAACATCTGCAGGAAACCACAAAGCTCAGAAGGACCCACAGTCCTCCTCCTCCTCTCCCTCCTCCTGTCCACAACCCCCTTCCTTCTAGCACTGATGGTATTTACCTAGTTGGGTCATGAAACATCTGCAGGAAACCACAAAGCTCAGAAAGGGCCAAGGGCCCTCATAAACCATGATTCCTAGTTTGTTGTGTTGTGTGCACCAAGCTCACCAAGCTTAGTGCAGACCCCACAGTTAAAGGCAACACAATTTAGCAAGGTGTGTCATCCAAAACCAGCTGTCCTAGGAGGTAGACTTGAGATGGGGGAGAGGGAAGGAGGGGTTTGAAAGGAGGAGAAGGACCTCTTTCTCCTTTACTTGCTATTTTGGGGACGCAAGGTGGCATTATCCCAGTTCTGTCCAGGATAACACTGGGCTCACCTGCCTTTCCCCCCCCCCCACCTTAGAGACTAAAACTGAAAATTATCCCTGTATCTGTTTCTCTGGAAACTATGACGTCCTTCGGCAGCTCCGAGGGCAGGACATGCAGGAAAGGCTCCCTCCCCACCTCCCCACCCCAAAGAGGCGAAAAGACACCGGAATTGAGGGGAGGGAAGGCGGGGTGGTTGCCTGGCAACCCCCTCCCGAGGAATAAGGCTGCCTTGTGTGCAAAGAGGCTTGTCTGTGGCTTGCGAAGAATCGAAAACCAACCTCAAATCCAGCCCAACGTCTCTTTGTTAACTGGGATGGAGATGCAGTTTTTTTGTTTTTGTTTTTTTAAATCAATGGACTTTTAGTTTCACTGGGGCGTAAATTCATCGGCTCTTTCTGCCTCTTGGAGGGAGAATTCCATGGGAAAAGTTTCTAGGCCTGCTGGGGGAATTTTTGAAGACCCTCCAAGTAGAGACGAATTCATCCGTCCTTTAAAAAGAGAGAAAGGAATATCCCTCGCCTGTTAAAACGGATGGTTGGCATGACCCCAACGCGCAGGCAAAGATATCGCTGCTTCAAAGGAAGCTTCCCATCGTCCTGGACGTGGCGTGGATGCTAAGGATCAGGGTGGGGAGGGTGTGTGTAGTTGTATGTGTGTGTGTAGTTGTGGCAAAATGTCCCAAAGGTGCTTTTCCGAAGGCAACTGGACTTTCGAACTCATCAAGGAGAGAAGCAACTTAGAATTTAGGAGAAATTTCCCGACAGTGAGAACAATTCATCAGTGGAACAACTTGCCTCCAGAAGTTGTGAATGCTCCACCACTGGAAGTTTTTAAGAAGATGTTGGATAACCATTTGTCTGAAGTGGTGTAGGGTTTCCTGCCTAAGCAGGGGGTTGGACTAGAAGACCTCCAAGGTCCCTTCCAACTCTGTTATTCTATTCTATTCTATTCTATTCTGTTCTGTTCTGTTCTGTTCTGTTCTGTTCTGTTCCGTTCCGTTCCGTTCCGTTCCGTTCCGTTCCGTTCCGTTCCGTTTTGCATTCTATTCTATTCTATTCTATTCTATTCTATTCTATTCTATTCTATTCTATTTATTCTATTCTATTCCACTCCACTCCACTCCATATTTTCTATTCTATTCTATTCTATTCTTTCTATTCTATTCTATTCTATTCTATTCTATTCTATTCTATTCTATTCTATTCCATTCCATTCCACTCCACTCCACTCCACTCCACTCCACTCCACTCCATATTTTCTATTCTATTCCTATTCTATTCTATTCTATTCTATTCTATTCTATTCTATTCTATTCTTATTTTTTTCTTCTTGAAAGATCCGAGAAGCTTCTTCAGCTCTGAATGGATGGTGGGGAATGGAAGGATTTATACTCCTTGCAGTCAGAGCTGGTCGTTTGCATCCTTTTAGAGAGTCGTTGAGGCCACTTAGAGGTTTATCTGCAGCAATTCCAAGAAGGGTCCACACCCATTCGCATCCCACTCAGGTGACCCTGAGGACACAGATAAACCTCCAAGTGGCCTCAACAACTCTCTAAAAAGGATGCAAACGACCAGCTCTGTCTGCAAGGAGTATAAATCCTTCCATTCCCCACCATCCATTCAGAGCTGAAGAAGCTTCTCGGATGAGAAGCGAAACGTCCTCAAAGAAAGAAAAAAGAAGAAAGTCCAGTTGCCTCTTGAATAAGCACCTTTGGGACAACCAGGACCTGGAGGACTGAGAATCTCCATAGACATATCCCTTGCAAAATGAAATTATTATATTAATTTTTGAAGCCTGCCCTGTGTTTAAAGCATTGCCAAAAAGTTCTGGCCAGTAGGTCTTCTTCTGTTGCAGATGGCAGGTAGCTGATGGGCTCTCCTTGCTTCTGTCTCTCATTCAAGGTTTATGAATCACAGGGTCCCACCCAACCGAAGGTACCAGCCCACGGAGTATGAACACGCAGCCAACTGTGCCACCCATGCGGTAAGTTCTCCAGCGTCTTCTCCAGGGAGCATTCTGATGTTCTGCCCCAGCTCCGGATTCCCGAGGATATTGACACACACCAACGGTCCTTATCAAATTTATTAAGTAGCAAGAATAAACCAAAGTCCGGCAAAGGTCGGCAACCAGCCCAGAAAACAAGATACGATAAGACTTTTCCCAAAATGCTCTGATGATAATTACAAGTTGTTTCCAGCAAGAAACTTACTAACGGCGTGCAACTTAAATAGGCTAAGGGAGTGGCCAATTATCCTCAAGCCTTACTCTTGAGGAGACCTCCTCCTCCTGAGTAGCCACTCCTGCCTTTTGGCAGCCCTTGCGTGCCCGAGCATTGAGGAGAGGCTCCTCCACTTCACTCTCTCCACTTGAAGGAGCCTCTGGAGGTTCTGAAGGCCCTGGTTGAGTCTCTGCCTCTGGCACCACATCCTCTTCAGCCTCCTCGCTGTCCGACGCGAGCGCCGGCTGCGCTGGCTGATGGCGCGACACCACACCAGCTTCCTCGTCGTCGGGATCAGCCACGATCCACACAGGCCGCTGGCGGGCCACAACATCTGGTGGGATGGTAGGAGGGGTCCTTGGTGCTCTCTGAGCTTGCTGGTTTTCTTGCAGACATTTTCTGACCCAACTATGTAATGTCATCAGCACTTGGGGTTTGCAAAATGCTGGAGGAAAAGGAGGAGGAGGAGGAGGCTGTACGATCCCTGGTACCCTTTGTGCTTGGTTTTTTTTTGGGGGGGGGGGGAAGACCTTTCATGACCAAACTAAGTAACATCATCAGTGCTAAAAGGGGATGGGGTTTGAAGGGAGGAGAAAGGGAACTATTGTGATGCCCTCTGAACTTAGTGGTTTTCTTGAAGACATTTCATGATCCAAATAGGTAATGTCATCAGTGCTAGAAGGGAGTGGACTTTGTGGAGAGGAGGAGGAGGAGAAGAGGAAGAGGAAGAGGAAGAAGAAGAGGAAGAGGAGAGGAAGAGGAAGGGGAGGAGGAGGAGGAAGAGGAGGAGGAGAAGGAGAAGGGAGAAAAAGGAGAGGAGGAGAAGGGGAGGAAGAGAAGGAGAGGAGGAAGAAAGGCTAGGAGAAGGGGAGGAGGAGGAGGAAAGGAGAAAGAGGACTATGGGTCCTTGGTGCTCTCTGAGCTTGGTGGTTTTCTTGCAGACGTTTTGTGACCCACCTAGGGAACATCATCAGTGCTAGAAGGGAGTGGGGTTTGCAGAATTAAGAAGGGGGAGAGGAAGAGGAGAACTGAGGGGTCCTTGGTGCTTTCTGAAGTTGGCTGCTTTCTTGCAGGCGTTTCATGACCCAACTAGGGAACATCATCAGCACTAGAAGGGAGTTGGGTTTGTTCTCTGTCTCCCTTCTAGCACTGATAATATTACCTAGTTTGGGTCATGAAACGTCTCCAAGAAAACAAACAAGCTCAGAGAGCACCAAGAACCCCTCAGTTCAACCCCAAGCTACAAATATTCTCCTTTGTAAGAACAAGACGTTGGGTGTTCAGTTGTCCTTGTGAGCTGTCCAGTGCCCAAGTCCAGACGTCCCGACGCCCGAATCCATGACGTCCATCTCCTCCAGCCTCCTCCTCAGAACTTTCCACCTCTCTTCTACTTTCCTTTCCATTTCTCTTCCAGTTCTGGATTGTCCCAAGCATCCTTGGTAGTTCAGTTCTCTACATCCTCTCGGACAATCAGTGGGAGGCCATTTCTGCTTGGATCTATGGCTTCGGCTTGTCGGGACTCTTCATCGTCTCCACCACGTTCCACACCATCTCCTGGAAGAAACGGCACTTAAGGTAATCCTCCTTCGACCATCCGGAGGAAGCGAGGAAAACTTGATGGTCCGAGGAAGCCAATCAGATGCTTGATCCACCCGGTGTCAGGTTTCGAGGTCGTCTCAAATAAATTGCATTTCAGACAAAGTCTTTGATGAAAAGCTCCCATTTATTAAGCACGACATTCTAACTCTGACTCCATCGTAGCCAACACTGACTTCCTGACCCAAAACCCTCCCTTTCCTTTCCCCACTCCTCTGCACTCATTGGCCATCTTCCAAGTCACTCTACCCCTAATCTACTGCTCCAGCTCAAAGGAATTTCCCCCCTCCCATCCCATCTCCTAGGGGATATTATCTCCAGGGAAAATAAGTAGGTGAAAAGTCAAACGTCCCTTTCCAGACGCCTCCGCTTCTCCTTCTTATGTCAGCACTAGAGTAAATGCAGCTTGAAGTGCTGACACCCGGTTTAGACCGATCTCCTTTACACCCTGAGGAATTGGGAAGGGTCTGTTCTGAGCTTCTGACCTCCCCCAAACCTCACCACCAAAGAAGCTGAAACGCAACAAACCCCAGGGGTGATATTCGCAAATGTGAGCGCGTGGCAGGGGTGCTATTCAGCAGGTTCTGACAGGTTCTGGAGAACCAGTAGCGGAAATTTTGAGTAGTTTGAAGAACCGGCAAATACCACCTCTGGCTGGCCCCAGGAGTGGGGTGGGAATGGAGATTTTGCAGTATCCTTCCCCCAGGAGTGGGGTGGGAATGGAGATTTTGCAGTATCCTTCCCCCAGGAGTGGGGTGGGAATGGAGATTTTGCAATATCCTTCCCCCAGGAGTGGGGTGGGAATGGAGATTTTGCAATATCCTTCCCCCAGGAGTGGGGTGGAAATGGAGATTTTGCCATATCCTTCCCCCAGGAGTGGGGTGGAAATGGAGATTTTGCCATATCCTTCCCCCAGGAGTGGGGAGGGAATGGAGATTTTGGAGTATCCTTCCTCTGCCATGCCCACCAAGCCACGCCCACAGAACCGGTAGTAAAAAGATTTGAATTCCACCACTGGCACCCAGCCTCAGAAACATGCCTAAATAGGATAGCATAGAGCCAGGGTGGGTAACCGGGGCCACTTGCAATTTCCGCTACCGGTTCGGGCGAACCAGTACGAACCGGCTGAATACCACCTCTGACAAACCCCCGTTTTCTCCCTATGCGCATTTCGCAGGACCGTGGAGCACTGCCTGCACATGTTCGACAGGATGGTGATTTACTTCTTCATTGCAGCTTCCTACGCTCCTTGGTGAGTTCTCACAAACCTCCTGTGGCTCTCGGCTTCTTAGCAGGACCACGGTCAAAGGGCTAGTTGTTCCTCTGAATCCAGGATCTCCAATCGTGGCCACTTTAAGATCTGTGGAAAAGTCCACAACTCATAGCAACTTATAGCAAAATCGGCTGAGGAGTTCTGGAAGTTTAAATCTGCAAGGATTCAAGTGGCCAAAGTTGGAAATTCCCTGATGTAAATGGCTCTCTGGGTCTGAGTGCCTCTGGGTGAGAGAAGGAGGGAGGGAGGAAGGGAGGGAGAGGGAAAGGGGAGAGAGAGGGGGAGAGAGGGAGAGGGAAAGAGGGAGGAAGGGAGGGAGAGGGAGCAGAAGAGGGAGAGGGAAAGGGAGGGAGGGAGGGAGAGGGAAAGGGGAGAGAGAGGGGAGAGGGGGGGAAAGTGGAGAGAGGGAGAGGGAAAAGGAGGGAGAAGAGGGAGTGGGAAAGGGGGAGAGAGAGAGGGAGGGGGAGGGAGGGAGGGAGAGGGAGCAGAAGAGGGAGAGGGGAGAGTGAGGAGGAGAGGGAAAGGGGAGAGAGGGAGAGGGAAAGAGGGAGGGAGGAATTGAGGGAGAGGGAAAGGAGAGGGAGGGGAAGAGGGAGAGGGAAAGGGGAGAGTGAGGAGGAGAGGGAAAGGGGAGAGAGGGAGAGGGAAAGGAGAGGGAGGGGAAGAGGGAGAGGGAGAGGGAAAGAGGGAGGGAGGAAGTGAGGGAGAGGGAAAGGGGAGAGAGGGAGGGAGACGGGTTGAGAGAGAGCGAGAGGGAAAAGAGAGGGAGGGGAAGAAGGAGAGGGAAAGAGGGAGGGAGGAATTGAGGGAGAGGGAAAGGGGAGAGAGGGAAGGAGAGGGGGAGAGGGAAATGGAAAGGGGAGAAAGGGAGAGGGGGAGAGGGGGAGAGGGAAAGGGAGGGAGGAGAAGAGGGAGAGGCAAAGGGGGGAGGGAGGAAGTGAGGGAGAGGGAAAGGGGAGGGAGGGAGGGCGGAGAAGAGGGAGACGGAGGGGGAGGGGGAGGAAGAAGGTGAGGGAGAGGGAAAAGGGGGAGAGAGAGGGAGATGGAGGGAGGGAGAAGATGAAGAAGAGGGAGAGAGGGGGGGGAATCTAGTTTTGCCGCATCTTCCTAGTCTTTCAAGTAGTAGAGGTGGAATCATCTAAAGCCCACCAGCTGATGACAAGACTTGGGTACCATCAAATCTAGATTTAACAGGCTTATGGTGTGATGGGGGGTGAGGGGAGGGCAAGGTGGCTGTTGAATCCCAAATGCCACCCAGGGTGTGACAAACTGTCCCTTGTGCAATTGCACATCTGGGTGGCCTTGCCTGCCTCGCCGGCCGGGCGGCGTCTTCTCTCCGTGACTTGCTGTCCCTTGTTGTGCTGCCAGGCTGAACCTGCGGGAGCTGGGTCCTTGGGCCTCCCACATGCGCTGGATCATCTGGATCATGGCCTCGGGTGGGACCCTCTACGTCTTCTTCTTCCACGAACGGTGAGAGGAGCGGAGAGTTTGACCAAATTGAATTGATTTTAATTGATTTTTTTTTTATTAACGTTTGTATTACATGTATTTTTATCGTTCGCTGTTCACCGCCCTGAGTCCCTTAGGAATAGGGCGGTATATAAATTTAATAAATAAATAAATAAATAAATAGATAAATAGATAAATAGATAAATAGATAAATAAATAAATAAATAAATAAATAAACAAACAAACAAACAAATAAATAAACAAACCGTGGGAATCCTTGGAGGGAAAAATTCATGCTTTGGCTTGGAAATTGGGAGCTCCGGCTTTCATGCGTCCATACCGCCCTCTTGTGGATATGAAAGATATCGCAGGCAACAGCTTTCTTTTTCTTTTCTTTTTTTTTAATTAATTTATTTATTTATAACACAACACAATATAACAAACACAAAACACATAACATAGGTTCCCTTTTTTACAACTGTTGCGTAACGGTAATCTTTCTAATATTTACATTTCCACCCCCACCCCCCACCCCAATTCCCCTTATACTATCAACATAATAATTTTAATTTGGGGTATTTTAAATTTCTGGGATTTTAATTGGAGCCTAATTATTTAATGATTTTAAATTTTAATGGTTGTTTTGTTTTGTGTTTTTAAATAGGCTGTACACCGCCCTGAGTCCTTCGGGAGAAGGGCGGTATAGAAATAAAATTATTATTATTATTATTATTATTATTATTATTATTATTATTATTATTATTATTATTATTATACTATTTATACCCTTCTTCTCCCATTATCCCTTATTTACACTATAATTCCTATCGCTCATAATATTGATTTTATACATTTTATCCGTTGTCCTATAAACACTTTACGTTTACGATTTCTCCCCTTTCGTTATTATTCACTATTTCGAATCTCCAGCCAGTTATACCATTTGTTCCGCGTTGCATAGTATTCCGTATCTTCTTTTTTCTTTCATTTCTTTTGTTTTCATGCTTTCTTTTTTGCTTGCTTGTTTTGTTTTGAATCCCTTATCGTGGTTTGTTTATTGAACAAAGTTAGGAACGGGGTTGGGATAACTCATGGGCCCAGGCTGTCCAGACGAAAAACAGAGTTTTCTCAAATAGCCGCAACTCGACTTATTTTCTTTGGGGCTGAAAAATAAGCAATAGGGCTTATTTTCAGGGAAACACAGTATGTAGCTGCACACATCCACGGCACTTAAGGAGCAGTGTATCTTCTTACAGAGTAGTCCTCGACTTATGACCGGTTGCTTAGAGACTATTCAAAGTTATGACGGACCCCCCCTTCCCCAAGTGCTACTTACAACCCGGGTCTGAGGTTCTTGTGGCTGCCCCTCTCCCACAGTCGTAAAATTGGGTTGGTCGCCTGGGAATCCACTTTACGACCGTCGCGACTCAAGACTGTAATTGCCGGGGGCTCAATTCCAGTCATAAATTAGGAGTGGTGCGGTGACCTAGAGGTGGAGCTCGCGCCTCATAATCAGGAGTTCGATCCTGGGTAGAGGCAGATATTTCTCTTTCTGGGCACAATGAGAATATATCTGCCGAACAAAACTCCGCACTGGTGACAGGGAGGGCATCCGGCCAGAGTAAACACTCTGCTAGCTCCATTCAGCAGCCCAGACTCCACCCCTCAAGGGAGGTCGTTAAATGATGATGAATTCCAGTCATAAATGGATACTACCTGTATTCCCAACTCCTGTGGATTTAGAAACTTGGTTAGATGGCTTCCTGAGTGAGGGGACCCCAGACAAACTGGGATTAATTCAGCAAATGGGGGAAGGGGGGAAGCCGATCGTGGCTTAGCTTGAGTTGCAAACCATATCAAGGTTTTTGAAACTCAGGTTGGCTTTTTTGATCTCCAGGTACAAGCTGGTGGAGCTGCTTTGTTACCTGATAATGGGGTTTTTCCCTGCTTTGGTCATTCTCTCCATGGTAAGTGACCCAAATGGAAATGTAGAACGTGACAATCGCCACGCAGGTAGTCCTCGACTTACAACAGTCGGTTTAGCGGCCGTCCCAAGTTACAACGGCGGTGAAAAAAATGTGACTTATGACGGTTTGTCACAGTTGCAATCGGTCAGTGCGTGCACAGTGTGACTGCTAGTTTGAGGCAACCCAGGAGCAAAATACAGTACACAGAGGTTTTTCAAACTATGGTTTATCTTTGTGATAAGTTATATATATACATACACGTGCTAAGCAAAGCCAGGCAATCAATCAATCAATCAATCTTCAACTTTAACAGAAAGCCCACATGGAAAAAATACACGGAGAACTACAATGGAGATAGAACATGAGAGAGAGAGAGAGAGACGCCCTCACATGGCCACTCCTATATAAACAGCCTCTTAAAAGTGATAACCCTGCTGACTCATTCTCATTGCATCATCCTGGTTTACAGCCTTACAGCAGCTGGTCAGCTAGTAAATCATCATTACCTTAACATGACCTTTGCAGCATCCCCACAGTCACGTGATCAAACTTCGTAACGCTTGGCACCTGGTTCGTATTTATGATGGTTGCGGGGTTCCCCCGTGGACCCGCCAAGTCCACGGGGGAAGCCGGATTGGCTTAACAACCGGGGTTACTAACTTATCAACTGCAGTGACTCCCTTAACAACTGCAGGCAAGAAAGATCGTAAAATGGGGGCAAAACTCACTTAGCAAATGTCTCACTTAACAGCAACAACAAAAAGGGGGGGGCTCCATTGTAGTCATAAATTGAGGATTACCTGTACCAGAGTCTCCTCCTGAACGAATCAGGAATTTACAGGTAACCCTATAGGCTTACAACCATTCGTTCAGCGGCCGTCTGAAGTTCCAACGGCACTGAAAAATTGATTTATGACCAATTGCTACCCTTGCCGCATCCTCGTGGTCCTGTGATCAAAATTCAGGTTCTTGGCAACTGGCATGGTCTTATGACAGTTGTAGCATTCCCCCCCAGGACATGTGATCCCCATATCTGACCTTCCCATCTGGCTTCCGACAAGCTACCTCAATGGGAAGCCAGATTTACGATGGACATTTGGGGCTCCATTGTGATCGTAAATCGAGGACTACCTGCCCTTGACTTTCACAGATTCTGGGTCTCCTTCTACCAGTCCACTGACTCTCTCCTCTGCTTATCCTGGTTATTGCAGCCCAACACGGAAGGTCTGGTGGAGCTGATGGCTGGTGGCATCTTCTACTGCTTCGGTACCATCTTCTTCAAGAGCGATGGACGCATTCCCTTTGCCCATGCCATCTGGCATCTCTTTGTGGCATTCGGAGCTGGGACTCATTACTATGCTATTTGGAGATACCTCTATCAGCCTGATGCTCTTGAACCTCACATCTCCAGGTAGTTGCCTTAAGGACTCCAAGTCACAGGTTCAAAGGGAGGAGATCCTTCCTTCGTTCTTTGGTATCTTCTGGAAGGTTGGTCCTACTCCTCCGTCTTCTTCAGGACCTCCAAGGTGAGATGGTGGCTTTTAGACTGGACTCCTTGCCCAGGCTCAGAACTTTGAAGATGGAACTACAAAAGAATGGTGGCAACGCGTAATATTATTCTTGGATGAAAGTTCTGACATGAAAGGAACAATGGATGGGTCTTAGTGAAAAGGACAGTTAGGAAGTAACCACTGGAAACGTCTGCTACAACTCGAGAACCCAGGAAGTCAACCGAGAAGCAAGAAACATCTCAAGAGGTTGGTCGGAGAGACTTTTAAGGGTCCATGGGTTCCATGGTTGTGTTTCCATTCTCTCTCCTACCCCAAAAATAAGTCCTCTGCTGGCCTTCTATTCTACCTCTTATGATGCAGTTAGTTGACCCTCTCTCTAAGTCATTCCAAGCAGATTGTAGAGGTAGAATTGTCACGGCTTTGCTGTCTGACGTAACCTTCCGTGAGGTCAAGATCTCTTGATGATTAAATGGGAGGTAATCATGTTAGATATCCGTGTAACTTTAAAATGTTGGCATCCAACCAATTCTGAAGCCCTTTGACCGTGTCATTCTGAAGAGATATGGCGAGAAGGTAGATGGGGTCATGTTCCTTTAGAATGAGATGGTGCAAGGGACCATGTTCCTTCAGGAGAAGATGGTGGAAGGGACTACCTTCCTTCAGACTGTGGAATGGACCATGTTCCTTCAGGATGAGATAGTGGAAAGGACCATCTTCCTTCAGGAGGAGTTGGTGGAAGGGACCAACTTCCTTCAGGATAAGATGGAATGGACCATGTTCCTTCAGGATGAGATAGTGGAAAGGACCATCTTCCTTCAGGAGGAGTTGGTGGAAGGGACCAACTTCCTTCAGGATAAGATGGAATGGACCATGTTCCTTCAGGATGAGATAGTGGAAGGGACCATCTTCCTTCAGGAGGAGTTGGTGGAAGGGACCAACTTCCTTTGGATAAGATGGAATGGACCATGTTCCTTCAGGATGAGATAGTGGAAGGGACCATGTTCCTTCAGGATGAGATAGTGGAAGGGACCATCTTCCTTCAGGAGGAGTTGGTGGAAGGGACCAACTTCCTTCAGGATGAGATAGTGGAAGGGACCATGTTCCTTCAGGAGAAGATGGTGGAAGGGACTACCTTCCTTCAGACTGTGGAATGGACCATGTTCCTTCAGGATGAGATAGTGGAAGGGACCATCTTCCTTCAGGAGGAGTTGGTGGAAGGGACCAACTTCCTTCGGATAAGATGGAATGGACCATCTTCCTTCAGGAGTAGTTGGTGGAAGGGACCAACTTCCTTCAGGAGAAGATAGTAGATGAGACCATGTTGCTTTATGTCCTCTTTCCCCCAATTCCCTCTGTGTAAAACTTCCTCACAAATCCCAACTAGCAGTGTCAGCATTGAGTAGGCTCTGGATTTCTCTCTCTGTCGATATTTACTAGCTGGAGAAGGCAAAAACCAGTCAACCAACCCTCCCAATATTCTGCAACAATCCAGGGTATGACCCACTTTAGGATTCTGACTACCTCATGATGCTTCATGGATCGAGTAGATCTTTGGTATTGTCACAAGCTTAAGAGTTCTCAGAGGCCGTTAGTCCTTTTTTAAAGCCTGCTTAGTATAATTTTGGCTCCTTAAGAGTGATTACTCATACCTGAATCACGGGCAGTTATGATTTAAGTCTTCTCCCCCAAGGAGAATACGAGTGAGTTTAAAAACTGGGTTGATTAAGGGGTTTCCAACCTTGAGAAATTTAAGACCTGTGGACTTCAACTTCCAGAATTTTAAGACTTGTGGACTTCAATTCCCAGAATTTTTTGGCTGGCTGAGGAATTCTAGGAGTTGAAGTCCACAAGTCTTAAAGTTGCCAAGGTTGGACACTCATGATTGATAGCTTTCCCATTCACGAGAAGACTAAGGTGTCTCTCTCTCTCCATCATGTCAAGTTGACTTCTGGAGACCTCCTGTGGTTTTCTTGACCGCCTGATGGAAGTAATTTGCACCGCCCTCTTCCAGTATAAGGTTTTCAGTTTCCACTCTGTCCTTCAGCACTGGGATTCTCCATCGGAATCTCATCCAAGTCTTAACCAGGCCCGACCCTGCTTAGCTTCCCAGCTTCAAGGACACCAGCCTTGCTGTCAATTCCGTTATGGACCCTTCAACCAAATCAGCTTGGATTCCTTGAAATCTCTCTTTGTGGCTAATTCTGACTTGATTTTTCTGTTTTGTGACCGTTTTGTACTCTTATCATCAGGGGAATGAAAAGGGTGACACCGATCGCCCGAGCGTTTTGTACTAACTTTTCATGACTTTGTAACTTTAAAAGAATGTCGGTGAATTTTTGAAGAAGTTCTGCATTTTAAACCACTTGTCTCTTATTTAAACATAAGTATTTTATATTTAACACAGTATTATTTAAGACCGGTGGTAAGAAAAACCACGTTAGCGAAGAGGGATTTCTTGTGGAATAAGGTTTAAATAATAATAATAAAAAATAATAACTTCTTTGGGTCTGTATTTATTGTTACTGAAAATGGGAAAAATTTTAATGAGTTTTTTTTAAAGGGGGGGAGGCCTTTACGCATATGCTGACGACTGGGGGAATTCTGGGAGTTGAAGTCCATGGGTCTTAAAGTTGCCACGGTTACACATCCGTTGACTAAAGCATGTTTGAAGGCCAAAAGGATGAGACAATATTTTATTTCTAGACAAGAGGTGTCATAACCCTGGAAACTTTAAGATCTGTGGACTTCAACTCCCAGAATTCCTCATGGCTGGCTGGGGAATTCTGGGATTTGAAGTCCACAGGTCTTAAACTTGCCAAGATCTGTGTTAGATCTTCCTTAGCTTATATTCTTTCCTTAAAAAAAAACCCTGTTCACCAACAACAAAAATATCCAGTTCGTTCTCTATCTCCACTAAAGGAACCACATTATATATATACAAAAACTGCTACTGCAATTAATTTAACTCAAATCACAGCTCAATCTCAAGTCGGTTTGCTCTAGAATTTAGCCTAACAGTCCCATTTAACTCTTTTTATGCATTGGTTTATGCATTTTTGTGCTAAAAACCATCTCTGATATACAGGTAGTCCTCGATTTACGACCGCAACTGAGCCCAGAATTTCTGTCGCTAAGTGAAACATTTAAGTTAGTAACAGGCTTGTGAAGTGAATCCGGCTTCCGCATGGACTTTGCTCATCGGAAGATCGCAAAAGGAGATCACGGGACACTGCGACCATCAAAAATACGAATCAGTGGCCGAGCGTCCCAAATCCCTTAAACATAGGGATGCCCTAAGCGTGAAAATTAGTTGTCACTTTTTTTCCCAATGTTATTTTAACACTGGACGGCCACTAAACAATAGCAATAGCACTTAGACGTATATACCGCTTCACAGTTCTTTATAGCTCTCTCTAAGCAGTTTGCAAAGTCAGCCTATTGTCCCCAACAATCTAGCCTATTGTCCCCAACAATCATTTTACCCACCTTGGAAAGATGGAAGGCTGAGTCGACCTTGAGCCTGGTGAGATTTGAACTGCCAAATTGCAGGCAGCCGGCAGGCAGCAGAAGTAGCTGCAATACTGCATTCTAACCACTGCACCACCAAGGAAGGAAGGAAGGAAGGAAGGAAGGAGGAAGGAAGGAAGGAAGGAAGGAAGGAAGGAAGGAAGGAAGGAAGGAAGGAAGGACTAGCAATAGCAATAAGACTTATATACGACTTCATAGTGCATTACAGCCCTCTAAGCGGTTTACAGAGTCAGCCTCTTGCCCCCAACAATCTCGGTCCTCGTTTTACCCACCTTGGAAAGATGGAAGGCTGAGTCAACCTTGAGCCTGGTGAGATTCGAACTGCCAAATTGCAGGCAGCCGGCAGTCAGCAGAAGGAGCCTGCAGTACTGCACTCTAACCTCTGCGCCACCAGGACTCTTAAAACACACCATTGTAAGTTGAGGACTGCCTGTACTTTCTGGTGGTTTTTATTTTTTTATTTTTTATTTTAAAAAAATTATATATTGCAACTCATCTGGAGTTTTATTTTGCAGCAGCAGCAGCAAATAATAATAATAATAATAATAATAATAATAATTGCAGAGAGAAGAATGCAAAGGGGAATTTTGCTTCAGTTTAAGTATGGATACAACCCTTATCAGCAAAAGCAAAGGGTGACATCATCAGACTGGAATAGTTGCCGGGTGGAATCGTTGTGGTATGTCAGAAGGATGACACACAACATGCCATTGAGTGTTTTATTGCCGCTTGCTGGAGAGGAAGGTCTAAATTTCGGCTTTTTCTCCTCCTTTAAAAGTTTCAATTCCCTTTCCAAATAACCCCAAACATGAGATCAAGATCAGAAAAATCTTGATCCCCGTCTAATCCACCCCTAGGAAAGACTCAAATTCCCACCAGCTGGAGAAAAGTGGAGCAAAGAAAAATTCAAAAGGAAGAGCCTGTAGTACAGTGAACTAAAGCACTGTTATTAACATCAGCTGCTTGCAATTACTGCAAGTTCGAATCTCGCCAGGCTCAAGGTTGACTCAGCCTTCTATCCTTTCTAAGGTAGGTGAAATGAGGACCCAGATTGTGGGGGCAATAAGCTGACTTTGTATAAATATACAAAAGGATGAAGGCTATTGCTTAGCACATTGTAAGCCGCCCTGAGTCTTTGGAGAAGGGCGGCATATAAATTAAAGCAAAAAACAAAAAGTCTCTAGGAAGAGTCCAGATATGAAAAACGTCAGGGGAAGAATACTGCAAAATCCCCATTCCCTCCCCACTCCAGGGGAAGGATACTGTAAAATCCCCATTCCCTCCCCACTCCACTGCAAAATCCCCATTTCCTCCCGATCAGCTGGGGCTCGGGAGGCAGAGAATAGATGGGGGCGAGGCCAGTCAGAATTTTTACTCCCAGTTCTCCGAACTACTCAAAATTTCCGCTACCGGTTCTCCAGAACTGGTCAGAAACTGCTGAAACCCACCTCTGCCTGGAGGACGGAGAATCTCCAATAGACCTTGAAGAAGTAGTTGGGAAGAAGCTTCTCTTGGATGAGAAGCGAAACCTCTTCAGAGAAAAAAAAACCAGAAAGTCCAGTTGCCTCTTGAAAAAAGGAAGAAAGAAAGAAAGAAAGAAAGAAAGAAAGAAAGAAAGAAAGAAAGAAAGAAAGAAAGAAAGAAAGAAAGAAAGAAAGAAAGAAAGAAAGAAAGAGCCCCTTCGGGATTAAAACAGGGAAGGAAGCCAGAAAGGAGAAGCGCACTTACCGACATGCAACGACTTTCGGGGTTCACCGACATCCAGCCCGCCCCCTCCCCAACATCACTACCCCCCCTCTCCCCCAAAATCACCAGCCCCAGGGGCTTTGCTCCCAATCCCCGCTTGTACAGCTGCGACAACTCGCAGCGCACGTCTGAACGGGACTGTCTGTCCCTCTCTCTCCACTGGGTTGGGGATCCAGCCCCGGAAAGGGGTGGGGGGGAAGGAAGGATGCGGGCACGGGTCTCTAAAGAGGGTGGGGGGGGGTGGAATCAACGCGCAACCCGCCAACGCGTTGCTGATGGAGCGCGTCTTGGCGCGCGGCGGCCACCAGGCGGCGCTGCTCCGCTCCGGCTTATTACCGGGACGTGGCGAAAGCAGCCGCCTCCGGTTCAGCTGAGCTCTTAATTCGGTTCGGCTTCGCTGGGCTCGGCCGGGCGATGATGATGCTCTCCGGGCGGCGGCGGAGACCCCGGCGGAGGAGGTGAGGGGCAAGTTGCCGCACTTTGCCGATGGGGGGAGAGAGAAAGAGAGGAGGGGGCGCGCCCCCTCCCCTTGTAAAGTCTGGGCTGGGGTCGGTTGCTTTCCTTGGAATCGGATTTGGGGAGGGGGGAGGAGAGAAGGATGGTGGTGGGTGCGGGGTGGGGGGGGGGGGGGAAGAAAAGGGACCAAAAACGGGGTGCAACGATTAGCCGGGCCTTTCTCCCCCCCCCCCCCCCCCAACTCCCCTCTTCTGCAGCTGGCACTCAGAACGGATGGAGAAGCTCCACTTTGCCCTCAAAGTACCCCCTCCCCAATTGGGGCAGATGGGAATCGGAGCTCAAGGTCTTCAGCCATGGGGAGGGTCGGGAGGGGGGTGGCAGGGAGAGATGGAGGTGTCTCTTCCCCCCCCAACACATCCTCAAAGGGAAGGCACAAAGGGAAGCGAGTGGTTTGGTTGCGTTGGGTGGGTGGGTGGGTGGGTGGGGGCGCAGGGGAGGTCAAGCCAAGTGCCAAGTCCTCAAGGAAAAGACGAGGGCGTGGGGTGGGGTGGGGGGTGTTTGGGGAAATGCTCGAGGTCTGTGTCCAAGAAGTCCTCCTAAAGCCGATTTAGAGGGATTAGCACCTAGGCTGGCCTTGACAGAAGGCCAATAGAAGAGAATCTCTCTCTCTCTTAGCTCGGGGTTGAAACGAGGGGTGGTTTTCTTGCAGGCGTCTCATGGCCCAGCTAGGCAACCTTATCAGTGCTGGAAAGGAGTGCAGGAGAAGGGAAGGGAAGGAGGAGAACAAGGAGAAGGAATGTGGGGTCCTTGATGCTCTCTGAGCTGGGTTGTTTTCTGGCAGATGTTTCATGACCCAACTAGGGAGCATCATCAGTGCTAGGAGGGAGTGCGAGGAGGAGGAGGAGGAGGAGGAGAGGAAAAGAAAAGGAAAAGAAAAAGAAAAAGGAAAAAGGAGGAGGAGGAGGAGAGGAAGAGAAGGGGAGGAAGAAGACCGGAGGAAGAGGACTATGGGGTCCTTGGTGCTCTCTGAGCTTGGTGGTTTTCTTGCAGACGTTTCATGACCCAACTAGGGAACATCATCAGTGCTAGAAGGGAGTGGGAGGAGGAGGAGGAGGAGGAGGAGGAGGAGGAGGAGGAGGAGGAGTGTTTTCTTGCAAACATTTCATGACCCAACCAGGTAACATCATCAGATCTAGAGGGGAACGGGCTTTGCTCTCTTATTTATATGTGACAGTTTCTATACGAAAGGAGTTTGTGATGCAATTGCAGCCATGATCAGCAGACACAAAAGAGAGAAGTTTGGGGTTTTTTTTTTTGCTGGAGTAAGCAAAACCAGTGAGATTCCCCCTTTGTATGTTGGGTTCTTTCCCTAAATGATCTACACAGGAAGAAGCACAAGACACCAGTTTTTTGCCTTCATGAAAACCGCAGCTAGGAACGAACGAATCTAGCTAACGTTTTCCAGATTGAGCGGCCAAAGCGCGCGTGCCCGAACCCCCAAAATGCCCCCCACATGCATGTGCACCCCTCACACACTCCACGCATGTGTGTGCCAATGCATGCCCCCATCCCCTGCGCCTGCCCCCCGCATGTGCCCCTTCCCCCCGCATGCGTCCGTGGCCCCTGCACGCATGTGGGCCCCCCACATGCATTCCGCCCCCCGCGCCTGCATGGCAGAGACTCGACCATCTGGACAGCGGGAGGCACGTGCGCGTGCTCAACAGACCTGAACTGGGACGACGGATCGCGTGCCCACAGAGAGGGCGCTGCGTGCCACCTCTGGCACGCGCACCACAGGTTCGCCATCACGACCCTATTACCATTTCAGACAAATGGTTGTCCAATCTCTTCTTTAAAACTTCCAACGTTGGAGCATTCACAACTTCTGGTGGCAAGTCGTTCCGCTGATTCATTGTCCTCGCCGTCAGGAAATTTCTCCTTAAAATTCCAGGTTGCTTCTCTTCCTTGTTTAGTTTCCATCCATCGCTTCTTGTCCTGCCCTCAGGTGCTTTGGAGAATAGGTCGACCCAGTGATGAAATCCAATTTTTTTTTTTACTACCGGTTCTGTGGGCGTGGCTTGGTGGGCGTGGTGTGTGGCTTGGTGGGCGTGGTTTGGTGGGCATGGTAGGGGAAGGATACTGCAAAATCCCCGTTCCCTCCCCACTCTCGGGCCAGCCAGAGGTGGTATTTGCCGGTTCTCCAAACTACTCGGAATTTCCGCTACCAGTTCTACAGAACCTGCTGGATTTCACCTCTGGGTTGACCCCGCTCTTCTTTGGGCCAGCTCCTCAAATATTGGAAGACTGCTATCATGTCACCCCTAGTCCTTCTTTTCATCAGACTAGACATACTCAATTCCTGCCTCCGTTTTTCGCCTCCAGTCCCCTAATCCTCTTTGTTGCTCTCTGTTCTCTTACGATTATCGCTTCCTCCGCTCCCTGCAATTTGTCTAATCACGATGTCTGTAATAAAATCTTCATTAAGCAACCTTCCGAGACGGTGTGGCTTTTGGGAAGAGCTGGAACACAAGCAGAAGGCATTCCTTTTTTTGTTGTGGTGGGGTGTTTTTTTTTTGAGAAGCAATGAACACCAGCACCTCAATTGCCCGTTCCTGGCTCGGGGGAATTCGTTTTGAATTCCTACACCGCCCAGCAGGAATTTTTAAGCAGCCAAAATTCCAGCCGCAGCCTTCGATAATTTTTGTGTTGTTGTGGGGTTTTTTTTTTCCCCCTTTTCATTTCTTGGCTGTGTTTTAAGCAGGGTGGATTTGATTTAAATCGAGTCGATTTAAATCACGATTTAAATCATGATTTAAATCACTAGTAAAAAGATTTAAATCCACTCGATTTAAATCATAATTTTTAAAGAGCAACTGTCATCTCTGCTACTCCTTTGACCCGCTGTTGACTCACCGATAGTCCCAGTGTTGCAGAATATGCAGCCTCCTGCTACATAACTAAGCTCCATTTCGTGCTGAATAAACTAAATCATTTATGTATCTTAAATAGAAAACTATCTTACGATAGATTTTTACCCCAACAGTTTTTTATTAAAATAAATTCGATAAAAAATAAAAAAAAAATCCGATTTAAATAAAAAAAATCCGATTTAAATTTTAAAAAAAATCCGATTTAAATCAAAAAAATCCGATATTTTTTGATTTTTTTATAAAAAAACTCATTGATTTTTATCCACCCTGGTTTTAAGCGATTCGAATGATGAGATTTTAATTTTGGCTCACTTGGTGGTGTGTGTGTGGGAAGAGAAACTATTGAATGCCAGTTGGTTGGCACGAGCATGATAAATCTTTGGATTTTTTAATTATTTTTTTTTTAAAAATATTGTCCTGCTCTGAAGCCTCTTAGAACAGGCTTGGTCAGCAGAAACAAAGGAGGTTTTTTTAATATTATTTTTATTACTATCCAGAAGCTTTTGCCAGAAACGTTGCTGTGACTTTGCTCAGGAGTTTGACTCCCCCAGCGTGATCAGGGGTGAAATGATACCTGTTCGCTCCGCTTGAGGCAAACTGGTAGCGGCGGCGGCACGTGATTCGGCGAACTGGTAGTGGCGGCAGCATGAAGCTCCGCCCACCTGCCCGGATGTCGTTTAAACCAGGTTTTAACCAGGAAATAACTTGGTTTTGATCCTCTGCGCATCCACAGAAGGCTTTGCACCAGTGGTGGGTTGCCCCCAGTTCGGATCGGTTCGCAAGAACCGGTAGTAAAACCGGTGGGAGGCTCCGTCCACTAACCTGGATGTCATCATAGGCAATCTGCAGATGCGCAGAAGATTCTGCGGATGTGCAGAAGAGTGCGCGCGGGCACGATGCGAACCGGTAGTAAAAGTAAGTAGAACTCACCCCTGCTTTGCACATGTGCAGAGCGTCCAGGCCAGAGGTGGGTTCTAAAATCTTTTTACTACCGGTTCTGTGGGCATGGCTTATTTTATTTATTTATTTATTTATTTATTTATTTATTTATTTATTTATTATATTTCTATATCGCCTTTCTCCCGTAGGACTCAAGGCGGTGTACGGTCAAGAAAAATATAGATACACAAACATCATAAAATTGCTAATTAAAATTATTATTATAACATAGTTTGGCCCAATCAAATAGAACCTAAAATTAGATATCATTTTAAAAAACATTCACATGTTCATATGTTTAGCCCCGCCTGTTGGAACATCAGGGTTTTGAGGGCACGGCGGAAAGCACGGAGATCAGGGATATTCCGTATCTCAGGGGGCAGTTCATTCCAAAGGGTTGGAGCCCTCACAGAGAAGGCCCTCCCCCTGGGAGTCGCCAGTCGGCATTTTGTGGGCGTGGCTTGATGGTCATGTGACAATTACAAAACCGGGGGGGGCCCAGAACCGGTTCAGTGACGTCATATCGTCACCGCTACCGTCTTGAGAGAACTGGGCCGAACCGGGAGGAACCCACCAGTAGTCCAGGCCCATTTCTGGCCTTCCTGAACTTCCAGTAGGCCCGTTTTTCACCCTCCCCGAGCCTTCGCATGTGCCCTGCACTTATCTGCATCCAAAACGGGCTGCGTGGGGACTCCTGGGAGGGGAGGGGTGGAGTGGGGTGGGCGGGGCGGGGCGGGGCCAGCCAGAAGTGGGATTTGGGGGGTTCTCCGAACTGCACAGAATCTTAGCTAGAGGTTCTCCCGAACCCCTGCGAACCCCCAGCAGCCCCGACCCTGGGGATCAGACTAGGAAAAACCTTTGAATGGGAGAAATTTTGTTTTTCTCCCAAAAGATGCTTCAGCGACAGCAAACAGCTGATGTCAACTCAGTTGCTGAATGCTTAGTTTGGCCCCGAGAAGAAGGGCAGGATATATAATTTGGCAAAAAAGCAAAAGTTTTGCTTTGCAATTTGTATTTTTTTCCCCTCCCCGTTTCTACTTCCTTTGCTGTTTTGGAAAAGAAATAATGTTTTCCACATTGCAGCTCCCAAATAACAGCGCCTCCCTCTCCCTCCCCGTTTCATTTTGAGTGTACGTGCGTGTGGGTCTGCTTTTTTCGTTGCACGAAGAGAGTGAAAGTTTAATGGACTTCCCCTGACTTTGCTAAAATAAGGGGAAGGGGTCAGGAGTTAGTTAGGAAGGAAGGCTGCCAAAAGAAATCCCCCTCGACCCCTTGATTTATTGGCACGACCCTCTGCAAATGACAGCTCCGAGGAGGGTTAACTTGGTGCATATGCTCTCAGTATACATAAAAGATACATTCGTCAAGAATCGTAAGGTACAACACTTAATGATAGTCTTAGGGTACAAATAAGCAATCCGGAAACAATATCAATATAAGTCGTAAGGATACAAGCAACAAAATTACAGTTATAAATGGAAAATAAAGACCTGGTTTCTGGGGAAACAACTCCCGCCCCCCCCCCCAATTGTAGTCGCATTTTTAATTAAAATAAAAAAAGAAATTAAATTTATTTGCTGCCCTTCCGCTGGGCATAGCTCCCATTGTGGGCCAGTTGTGTCGAGAAATAAAAATGCAGTCGCGTGACCTTGTGTGTATGTGTGGGTGTGGTGGGGGGAAGACGAGGCAGATGTTATAACTTTGCAACTGGATTCTAAATATTTTTTTTTTGAGGGGGCGGGGAATTATTGTGACTTCAAACGATCCCTAGCGACTGCCGTAAGCGGAGGACTTAGCTACGTATATATATATATATTATTCTGCAGAACCTGTTTTCTAGGGTGGAAATACCAAGCGACCGATGTTTGCATGTGGGAATCAACTGTGAGAGGGAACGAAGTCACCAAGTTTCTTCCTCTGCACCCGGGTTTAATGCATCCGTTGTGCTGGAAACGTGTTTTTTTTTAAAAAAAAACCCTGAATTCAAATCCGTCTCGGCCACTAGGCAGGGCGGCTCCCTTTTCCTAAAAATAGAAGTGGAGATTTTGGTGTGTAATCGTCCATCCCCCACAATCCGTGGTCTCGCACAAGGCAGGGGCTTGATAAAAGTGATGGCAGATCCCCTACAGATTTCATTCACACAACACCCCTCCAACGGTGGGGAGAAGAAGACATCCGGTCTGCCCTCCAAGCGGCCTTGGCAAGGTCTTCCGCATTCTTTGCGGAGGACAAAAAGGATATATATATATTTAGAAAGAATTCAGAGCCAGCCTGCGGCTCTGTTAGTCCCCCCTGCCAGGCTGAAGGATATATACCCGTTTTGTGCGTGCCATCAGCTCGGAGCGGTTAAAACATTTTGCATCCAGATGTTCCAAATTCCAAATCCAAGATTGAAGTGGCTGGTGACATTGGTATATAAGAGATGCAAATAAATAAAATAAAAGAAGACTCAGATTACTATTTGATTTGGCAAAAATGGTACGATGGGTTAGAGAAAAAAAAGACGAAATAAGGGAGTACCACTCAAGGACACAAAAATGAGGAACCAAAATTAATATCATTACATAAATATCGTTATATCATGAAGGATATATATATATATAGATATAGATATATAGGTCTTTGGTTATTCGGGTCTTCTCCCACGTAAAATTGGAAATGTCTTGGCGACGTTTCGACGAAGTCTCATTCGTCGACCTACATACAAACACCCGCGAAAACCTGAGAAAACATATAGATATATGGATATACAAATTACCGATGTAGCTCTATTCACAAAGCTCAAGTTGCATGACTTAATTTTAGTGTACAGTTTGCTTATGTATAGTTTGTTTTTATGTGTGTATGTTTGTATATGTATGTTTGTTTATCGTTAATAAAAATTTTTTAAAAAGAGAGATGCAAATAAATAACGTTATTCAGATTTGTTTGGGGGAATTTTTTTACACGTGGCAGAATAACAGAGTTAGAAGGGATCTTGGAGGTCTTCGAGTCCAATCCCGAAGCAGGAGATCGTATACTATTCTGGACAAATGGGTGTCCAGTCTATTCTTAAAAATAGTGATGGAGCATCCAGAACTTCTGGAGACAACTTGTTCCACTGATTGATTGTTTTCACTGTCAGGAAATTTCTCCTTAGTTCTAGGTTGCTTCTCTCCTTGGTTAATTTCCATCCATTGCTTCTTGTCCTGCCCTCAGGTGCTTTGGAGAATAGCTTGACTCCCTCTTCTTTGGGGCAGCCCCTGAGATATTGGAAGACTGCTATCATGTCTCCCCTGGTCCTTCTTTTCATTAAACTAGACATACCCAGTTCCAGCAACCGTTCTTCGTGTGTTTTAACCTCAAGTCCTGTAGCAGGACTGATCTTCTCTTGACCCCAAATCTGGCTTTTGTTTACAGAGGGATGGAAAAAGGTAGAGGTCGAGCAATAACTGGATCTGTGATAAGATCTCCAGATGGTTGGCTGCCGTGTTCAACAGCTTGCGAGGACAAAATAATGGTTCGACTTGCTGTCACATCGGGTGAAAGCAACACGGGATGGGCCAGAACAATTGAGAGCATTGTGTAATACTTAGAAAACACCCAATTTAGAAAAGAGGTTCTGGTTCAGGGTGGGCAGGAGATAAATTGGGATCTGGGCGGTTGTTGGTGGAGAAGTGTTTATCCCAAAGTTGCCACGTTTGAATGTCCTTGCCTTAGGTGACTTCACCATGCTTCCTCCGGTCTTTCTTGAACCATTCTCAAAACCACATTAGCAAACTCCCTCTGAGGCGCTAGTCCAGGGGTCTGCAACCTTAAACACTCAAAAGAGCCATTTGGACCCATTTCCCACAGAAAAGAAAACACCGGGAGTCACAAAACTCTTCCCCGTGCCTGACTATTTCCACAAAACTAGCATATGTAGTTGAATTAAACGTTCTGTTTTCTTCCGAAACTTTTCTTTTCTTGGATTTATCTATGGTTGGCCTACCAGGTGTTGAAAAGCTCAATAAATCACATGCCGGTGGGTGTTGCACATTGGCAGTTGTGACATATTTTGAGTGACAGGGAGCCACAGCAAAGGAGTGAAAGAGCCACATGCGGCTCCAGAGCCACAGATTGCCGATCCCTGCTCTAGTCAAACGTAGGATCTTGAAGCCACCTGTGCTCCAAGGTTGTTGTTCTTTTTGCAGAGGTTCTGTGAACATCTTGTTGTTTGTCAGTCATGTGTCTCTTGTTTTTGGCCTCCTGACCACACATTCACGGCTCTGCTTTCTTTCAGCCACGACCCATGACGCCCCCCTACGCGATGTTCTACAGGTCACCTTCAACCATGTCGCCGCCCTCCAAAAACCGATTCAAGCGACAAAGTCGGATATTCTCCCAGGTCTTGTACCGGACGCTGAGCTACAAGGACCGCAGCTCGGTGGCCGGTTATTTGGGAGCAAACAAGGAGGATCCGTCCGAACTCTCCACCCAGGTCTCAGCTCCTGGAGTTCTCAAGATCTTTGGATGTCACATCTGTGTGGGCACTCACTACAAGAGCGTCTTGGCCACGGCCAGCTCGAGTGCCCAAGAGCTGTTGAAAGAAGCTCTTGAGAGGTATGGACTCAGCAGGGTAGATGTGGGTCATTATGTTCTCTGCGACGTCATCGGGACGTTTGCTGGCTCGGAGAAGCAGTGGAAGATGGAAGGGTTGAGAATCCTGAGGGACCACGAGAAACCTCTTTTGATCCAGGACCTTTGGAAGCCGCGGGAAGGTTTCTCTCGGAGGTTTGAGCTTCGGAAGAGGTCTGAAGTGGAGGAGATGACGGCCAAGGACAAAGACACCATCACAGCAGGTGAGGAACAGAAGGTCTTCTGGGAAGAGCTCTATGCGGCACTTCAGTTGCAAGATCATAAGCCATTATCTTGCGGTTGGTGGGGTTTGAGCTTAGCGTGCAAACTCCCAATGGGGGGAGGGGTAGGGAAGGATAAATCAACACGGGGCTTAGACCTAGTGAAGTGGGTCATTCAAGGATCTACACTGGGGCAAACCTGGAGGAGATGAATTGTTCAGCCAAATATGTAAGCTTGGTTAAACCCATCACGAAGCTTTGGAAGGTGTATCTAGAGAAGGGAGGATCTGGGACTAATCCCATGGATTAGGACTTGGACTAGGTCGGTGGGAGGGGAGAAAATTTGGGTTGAAATCTTGGCCTGGCCAAAAGTCCATCGTAATTGACTTACCCCCCACAATTGTGGCCAGTATTTCCATTGCTAAGTAAGTCAGTTGCAAGAATGGCAAGAATGGAGGGGTCCTTGGTGCTCTCTGAGCTTGGTTGTTTCATTGCAGACGTTTCATGACCCAACTAGGTAACATCATTAGTGCTGTTGTTACCTAGGTTTGGGTCATGAAACATCTGCAAGGAAACCACCAAATTCAGAGAGCACCAAGGACCCCTCATTTCAATCCTGAGTTTTAAATATTCTCCTTTAATGGGGAGAACTCTCCGGGCATGCAAGAAACAGGAAGGTCTAGGGGGTAGCAGAACCCCCTTGCTTGTAGTTCTTTAGGTTGTCTGAATGTCAACTCGCAAAGCATCCCTGACCTGCTCTCGAGTTGCCATAGGAAAGGGGGAGATGGGAAACTGATGAAACGGCAGGGCAGCCAATGCACATTCCAGACTTATCTCTCTCAAGGCTGTATCCCAAGGTTACTTACAGTGGCTGGGGGGGGGAGTGATCTCTACAACCCGCAAAATTGCCCCGGAGGCGAATGTGACACACCCGGGGGGGCGGGAAGGGGGGAAACAGGGGCATGATTGGGGCCATAAATTCCGTGGGGTCAGAGCTGGCTTCACTTGGGAAGGTGCCGACACGAAACTCCTAATAAATAACGGGATTTCTTTTGAAGTTTGGCTCCGAGGCTCATGATTTAATGAGGGCATCTGTCAGAACCCTTGACACTGAAGTTGTTTCAGTCTGAAAGTCCAGTATGGTTGCATCTGCTCGCCAAGCGCAGTTCGAAGAACCAAGCCGCTCAACAACCACAAGCCCAGGCCCAGCGTCAATCGTCCATCATCAGCTGCAGGAGCGTGAGAGGGAAATCCAGACCCAGAAGCCGGACAGGGAGCGGGATGGAAAGATTCTTTTGGCCACATCCAGGAAAAAAGTCCTCTGTTTGTTTTTCCAGCAAAGCTCGGGGAGTTTCAGGAGGGTTTAGGAGTCTCTTTTGGAAGGCGAGGACTCCACTGTTTTTCTTTCTTTTTTGGTTATTTTGCTTTTGTTTGGCTCTGGCTGCACAGAATCAATACGGAAGGTTCCTTTCCGACAGATAAGGAAATCAGAAGTTGGCCTCTCTTTTTTTTTTCAGCAGAGGAAGCCGCAGCCGGATTGCTGAAGTTGGTTTTTTTTCTTTTTCGGATTTTCAGAGGAGACGTTTTCTTCCTTTTTTTTTTTGTTTTTTAGGCAAGTTTTATTGATTTTTTTTTTCCTTTCGCCCACCACACACAGACTTATTTTATGAACAGAGTATTGACCATATCATATCTTATACAACTTATCCAGAGGTGGGTTTCAGCAGGTTCTGACCAGTTCTGGAGAACCCGTAGCAGAAATTTTGAGTAGAGAACCGGGAGTAAAAATTCTGACTGGCCCCACCCCCATCTATTCTCTGTCTCCCAAGTCCCAGCTGATCGGGAGGGAATGGAGATTTTACAGTATCCTTCCCCTGGAGAGGGGAGGGAATGGGGATTTTACAGTATAGTTCCCCTGGAATGGGGAGGGAATGAGGATTTTACAGTATCCTTCTCCTAGAGAGGGGAGGGAATGGGGATTTTCAGTTGCTCTTCCTGGGGCGTACAGAAACTTACTACCACAATTGAGCCCAATTTTTTTGTCGCTGAGTGAGATATTTGTTAAGTGATTTTACAACCTTTCTTATGAATAGAGTAGAGTAGAGTAGAGTACAGTACAGTACAGTAGAGTAGAGTACAGTAGAGTAGAGGAGTAGAATAGAATAGAATAGGAATAGAGTAGGGTAGGGTAGGGTAGAGTAGAGTAGAGTAGAGTAGAGTAGAGTAGAATCGAATCGAATCGAATCGAATATAGAATATAGAATATAGAATATAGAATATAGAATAGAATAGAATAGAATAGAATAGAATAGAATAGAATAGAATAGAATAGAATAACAGCATTGGAGCAGTGGTGAAATCCAATTTTTTTTTTACTACTGGCTCTGTGGGCGTGGCTTAGTGGGCATAGCTTGGTGGGCGTGGCAGGGGAAGGATACTGCAAAATCTCCATTCCCACCCCACTCCAGGGGAAGGATACTGCAAAATCCCCATTCCCACCCCACTCTGGGGCCAGCCAGAGGTGGCATTTGCCGGTTCTCCTAACTACTCAAACTTTCCGCTACCGGTTCTCCAGAACCTGTCAGAACCTGCTGGATTTCACCCCTGCCTTGGAGCTCTTCTTAAGCAGGAGACCCTACCCCACTTCAGACAAATGGTAGAAGTAGATAATGAAGAAGATAATCTTCATTATCTTAACCTTGAGGGTCAAAGGTCCCCGTTTCCTCTCTACATTTCAGTTTTGCTTCTTGGGAGGGTGCTTCGGCCCCTTGTACGGTGGCCAAGTCCTCCTTTCTACCAGTCGTTTGTGGTCCAGCTTGACCTGAAACCATTGCTTGTTGTCGCGGTAGATTATTCTGCCCTATTTGTCCTTCTTTTGCCTAATCTGGAGACGTATAAACAAACCCAGTAAGCATCTCCACTCCTTCTCTGCGCCAATCATTTCTTTTTAAGTTTCCCAGCAAAGGCAGAAAGTTTAAAGCAAACAACCCAAAAAAAAAAAAATGGATTTAAGAACTGCAAGATCGTTCCTCACCAAATAAGGTAGATTGCTTGGTGGACTCTAAGCTGTTTCCTTTATAAATGGGCTTGGAGAGTTTTCTGATCCTGATTTCTTGTTTCATCCCTGGAGAAGCTGGATCTTTCCTTTCTTTCTCTACCTTTGGCCAAGTGGGGAGAAAGAGAGAGTCCCATCTCTAAATTTGGCTTCTCTCCAGGGAATGCAGAGATTTATTTATTTATTTATTTTTAAATCACCCACTCTGGGATTGTGAGAAAAACTTGAGAAATCTAGTTTGGGAAAGATAAACGTCAAGTGTCGTAGAAAACGGTGTTCCACCTCAAGGAGAAGGCGATATCTCGCTTCTACGGGAAAACTGTGGATAGAAGACGGGAGAAGGATTCAACCAGGAGCAGCCATTCTCTTGGGCAGAGAATGGAGGACAGAGGCAAAGCCATTCAATGAATTTGTGGGTCCAAAATGAATTTGTGGGTTCACCCACACGCAAGGTACGTGCTCCATCGCTAAGGTTCTCAGGAAAAGATTGCACAACCATTTGTCTGGAAAAGGTAGTAGAGGACTCCTGCCCTGGGTAGATGGTTGGGACCTCCAAGCTTCCTTCCAACTCTATGCTTCTATCATTCTATCATCAGAGTTCAGGTAGAACTCTATGCTTCTATCATTCTATCATCAGAGTTCAGGTAGAACTCTATGATTCTATCATTCTATCATCAGAGTTCAGGTAGAACTCTATGCTTCTAATCATTCTATCATCAGAGTTCAGGTAGAACTCTATGATTCTATCATTTTTGAGGTTGGTGTAGTTGTATCTCCCACACCTCCAAACTCTTTTGGGGCTTCCTTCTTCAAGAGTCCACCTGGCCTGCGTGAACATTGCTTCTGTTTAGCCACGACATTCCTTCTGTGGTCTTCCTTTATCAGTTCCTTCGATGGTTGAAGAGCAAAGATGTCAGAGATAGGAGTGTTTATGGGGTGAAAGAGAGGGAGCAATGCTTCTCTGGTTCTCCATGAGGCATATAGGACTCCTTCGATGAGAAGAGGGGCTGCCCCCAAAGAAGAGGGGAGGTCAGCCTGTTCTCCAAAGCACCAGAAGGCAGGACAGGAAACAATGGATGGAAACTAATCGAGGAGAGAAGCAACCTGGAATGAAGGAGAAACTTCTTGACACTGAGGACAATTACCGAGTGGAACAGAAGTTGCTTTCAGCAGTTGTGGCTGCTCCATCACTGGAGGCTTTTAAGAAGAGTTTGGACAGCCATTGATCTGAAATGCTATAGGCTCTCCTGCTTAAGCAGGGGGTTGGACTAGAAGACCTCTAAGGTCCTTTCCAGTCTCTAGTCTATTCTAAATCTGTGCTTGCATTTACGAGCTTTGTCGTGCCCCCAGGGTAGAGAGAGACAAACTCTCTCTCTCTCTCTCTCTCTTTTTCTCGGTCTCTTGGAGAGACGGTGAGGAGAAGTTAATTGTTCCTTACCTCTGCAGCTAATGCGCAGAGTCTCCACCGCTGCAGTTGGCAAATCCTGTCAAGCCGCCAAGTTGTGCTGGCAAATGAGCTTGGCTTCAAAGACCGAGCACCTGGGAAGCCCTTGGTTCAACTTTGCGGTAAGACGGTAAGACGTCGAAGCTCTTCAACCTTCCTTGGTCCAGGCAGGGGAACAACAGATCCGTCCTCTGCATTCCCACCTCCAGTTTATTTCCAGGGATTTGGGGAGGGGGGGGAGAAGGGAGGGAAGGGGAGAGTAAGGGAGGAAAGAAGACTCTTCCCTTTTCTTAATTCTCCCCCACCCCTCAGCGCGGAAGGCAGCTGGGAAAGGTTGCTGCACAAGACAGTGAAATTGGATTTGTGGGTTTGCGTGGGTCAGAAGAAAGAGAGAGCAGAAGGGAATCTGGAAAAGGCTGACGGAGGAGGAGGGGGGAGAGAAGAGAGGCATGTCACTTGCATGGCCCAGCCAGATGGTCTTCTGGGGGTGGGTGGGTGGGTCTCTCTCTGTGTGTATATGTGTGTGCATCTAATCTCTCTTGGAATATATTTTTGGCTCTCAGTTCTGCTGCATGGCTTGGGAGGGAGGCCAAAACTGAGAGCAGAAACAGGGAAATATCTTTATCCCGGCAGCGGGATTCCGATGATGGATAAGCGGTCCCCTCCTTTTCCTCGCCCGCCATCCCAAACTTTTTATTATTATTATTATTCCAAATGCGTATTTCCTAAAGTTAAAAAAAACAAAACAAAAAAAACCTGCGTTTCACTGAAATGCTGCCATTTATAAGAGATCACACAAGATTTATATTGACTGTTTCCCTATGACTGTCATTAAGTGTTGTACCTCGTGATTCTTCTTTTTATGTACATGGAGAGCTTATGCACCAGAGACAAATTCCTTGTGTGTCCAATCACACTTGGCCAATAAAGAATTCTATTCTATTCTATTCTATTCTATTCTATTCTATTCTATTCTATTCTATTCTATTCTATTCTATTCTATTCTATTCTATTCTATTCTATTCCATATTCCATATTCCATATTCCATATTCCATTCTATTCTATTCTATTCTATTCTATTCTATTCTATTCTATTCTTTTCTATTCTATTCTATTCTATTCTATTCTATTCTATTCTATTCTATTCCATATTCCATATTCCATATTCTATTCTATTCTATTCTTCTATTCTATATTCTATTCTATATTCTATATTCTATTCTATTGTCTATATTCTATATTCTATATTCTATTCTATTCTATTCTATTCTATTCTATTCTATTCTATTCTATTCTATTCTATTCTATTCTACGTGGCCCTCATTGAAATCGAGTTTGACAGTCCTGGCTTAGATGGTGCAGAGGTTAGATGGGCCTTACCTGCCAAACTTCTTCTCCTTCACCTCTAGGAATTAACGCTCAGGCTCGGAAGCTCCAGCGCAACCGGACCAAAGGAACCATGACTCTCTTGGTGGCTTGCCATACTTCGCCCCCCAGCCTTAGGCGCACCGTCAGCGAGGCCAGCCTTAGCCAAGCAGGCCCACCGGAAGACCAGAAAGAGGAGGGGCCTCTTCGGCGGCACTACTCCACGCTGCCAGAGACTCTCCGATGCATGGAGGGGGTACCGGACGGGCGGGCGGCGGCTGCCCTTGAAGAGCCAAACGGAGGCAACACCTTGAGACTCTCGCTCTATCAGTCCCCACATCTGCTGCTCCTACAGGGATACAGCCAGCAACATGTAAGTTTCCCCCTCTCGCCCGAGGGAGCCTTCTTCAAGTTCTTCTCCCTGCTAGATGCCTTGGATTGCACTTCCCATTATCCCCAGCCACTCTCCCGGTGTGTTGGAAAGCCACGGCCATGATTCATGGTGGGGTAGTAGGATAGTTCCCCCCAGTGATGGGTTTCAAAATTTTTTACTACTGGTTCTGTGGGTGTGGCTTGGTGGGCGTGGCAGGGGAAGGATACTGTAAAATCTCCATTCCGTCTCCAATCCAGGGGAAAGTTACTGCAAAATCCCCATTTCCTCCTGATCAGTTGGGACTTGAAGAGAATAGATGGGGGCGGGGGCCAGTCAGAGGTGGTATTGACCAGTTCTCCGAACTACTCAAAATTTCCGCTACAGGTTCGTCAGAACTGGTCAGAACCTGCTGAAACCCAACTCTGGTTCCCCGCCCCCCTCCCGTTCTGGAGTTCCCTAGACTGCAACAATAATTCCATAGCTAGGTTTCTTCCAGAAGAGTAGAACTACAACTCCCATGTCTCCCAGGCAGGCTCCCTTCCCCATCCCGCTATTCTCTAGATCCATAACTTTGCCACTCTTCTCAATCGCTTCCCTTCTCAGCCAGCATCCCCCTCCCACCAGGGAGTGGTATTTACTTACCTTCGCTACCGGTTTGCAAATGTGAGGGCGCGCGTACATGCTAGCTTCACTTGCATACACAGGGCCTTCCGTGCAGGCTCAGCAGTAGTGGGTTGCCCCCACTTCGCACCGGTTCTATAGAACCGGTAGCAAAACCGGTGGAAGGCTCCGCCCACCGACCCTGACGTCATCAGGATGCTTCTGCGCATGCAGAAGAGCGTGCGGCCCCGCTGTGAACCGATAGTAAAGGTAAGTAGAACCCACCCCTGATGTTCAGAGCAACAAAAATGTGGATAAATGGGACGTGATGACGTCCGGGCAGGTGGGCGGAGCCTCCCGTAGCCGCTGCTACCAGTTCGCCCGAACCAGATAGAACCAGCTGAATAGTACCACTGCCTCCCACCCAACCCCGGGAGATGTCCACCATCCCAGCATGTGAATCCTCCATCTGTATGGAGGAGAGAACGTCTACATTGCTTTTGGTAGAACCTCTTGTTGGGCTGTGAAAGAGAAGTCCCCCTCCCCCTCAAACTTGGCACGAGAGTCGTCCCCCGCCCCCCCAGTCAGAACAGGTTGGCCCCGAGCTCGGCCCTTTCTTTCTACCTGCTTGTGTGTTGGGCTCCGTAGGACAGGCTGGTGTACCTCTTGAACCGCGAGCAACACACGGTTGGCCAAAGGACTCAAGCCAGCAAGCCAAGCATTAGCCTTTCGGCGCCCGACATCCTTCCTCTCCACTGCTCCATCCGGCGGGTGAAGCTGCCCACCCGTTCTCACCACCGCTGCGAAGAGAAGCTCATCTTAGAACCCATCGCGGGTGCCAACGTCTCCATCAACTTCTCCGAGGTGGGGAAGACGGTAGTGCTCCGTCACGGCGACCTCATCTCCCTCGGCCTCTCCTACCTGTTCCTCTACAAGGACCCTCTCAAAGCTCAGCTGCTGCCCACCCAGACGCTGGCGAAGCTGAAAGCCATGCGCCGGGCTTCCGAACCCGAGCCGTCTTCCGCCACCTGCAAGTTGTGCGGCACCCATTTCAAAGACAAGGCCTCCTCTTCCAAAAAGCAGGAGGGCCAGTCCTCCTCCGGCCGGAAGAGCAGCCAGAGGAAGCTGCAACTGGAATTTGACAAGGCCAACGAAGATCTCTTGCTGAGGAGGATCATGACGCTCATCGAACCCACTGGAGACGACCACAAGTTGACGCCGGCCTTTTTGTTGTGTCTCTGCATCCAGCACTCGGCCACCCATTTTAGGCTGGGAGACTTTGGGCAGCTCCTCCTCAAGGCGACGAAAACGGTTCAGAAGAGCGTGTGGGTCAGTAGTAGGTTTGTTATAAAAGGAGGGAATGGGAGGAATGGGAGGGCTGGCGGTTTAGGGTTTGATGGTGGGACATCTTTAGTCCTTGTCAGTTTCAGTCTGTTTTCACTCCCGCTCTCACCTTGAGGGGTCCTTGGGGGGGTCCTTCCACCACAAGAATATTTTGTTGCCTTCGGGACAAAACAGGACCTTCTCTGTGGTGGCACCAGAATTTGGTAATTCCTTTGGCTGTTTTCTTCCAGATGTTTCATGATCACCATCAGTGCTAGAAGGGAGAGGGGTTTGGAGGAGGAGGAGGAGGAAGAGGAGAGGAGGAGAAGGACTATTGGTCCTTGGTGGTCTCTGAGCTTGGTAGTTTTCTTGCAGATGTTTCATGACCCAACTAGGTAACTTCATCAATGATAGGAGGGAGTTTGCAATCAGGAGGAGGAGGAGGAGGAGGAAAACTGTGGGGTCCTTGATGATCAAAACGCTTTCGGAGGGATCAAAGCCGCCTCTCTGAAATGCCAAACGCTCCCTTCAAACTTGAAGCATTTTGAATTCCGAAGCGTTTTGAGGTTGGGGAAATGCTTTGCAGGGCCCTCCCGTACGCCAATGTTAAAAGAAGCGTAGGCACTGAATGGAATTTACATTTTGATGGCCACACGACTCATTTAGGTCATGTGAATTGGGTCGGTCTTCGCAAAAAAATGTGAATGAAATCCTTGGTTAGCCTCATAATTGCCACCAGAAATGGAATGGGCAGTTCAAAGCAGCTAGAAATCTTGAAAAGAACATTAATTCTTGCATATAAAAGGTGCTGTTTTGGTTATCCACGCAAGGCAGGATCTGGAAATCGCAGGTCGTTTTATCCATTTCTGTATTTCTTTAGATCACTGGCATGTGTTTTGATTTTTTTTTAAAAAAAAAAAATTTGTTTCGATGTGTTTTCCGGTTCTAGGAGAAAACAAACGAGCTTGCGGAAAAACAATCCTTACAGTAAGTTTCCTGTATTCATATTTATTTCAAGAATAGTTCACCTCTCATGCAAGGGTTAAAGGCCAAGATCTCTTCAGAATCTGAATCAAGGAAAATCCTTCCACCACAAAATCTTCAACCACAAAAACAGGGCCCTTCTCTGTGGTAGCACCAGAATTTGGTAATTCCTTTTCATGTGAGGCTAAGTGCGCTTTGACCCCTGATGACTCTCTACAATGTTTTGATTTTGCTTGGCTTATATTATTGGGCCTATTATTGCTCAGGGATCTTCCCCTGAGGTTAACCTGGCAGCACAGATCTTACTACACATCTGGATCAGGGCAGGCTCTGTTCCAGCGAGATCCACAAATAGATTTGCTGCTTTTCGTGGGAAGCCGAGATGGTCAATCCATTAATTTGAAAACTGAATGCATTTCCAGCAGGGTTGTCCTTGGCTTCAGGGAGGCACAGAGGCCAAAATCCTACTGGGGATTGAAATAGGGAGGGAAGGAGAGGCAATTCTCACCCTTCCCAACCTACAGCCTTCCAGATGTGCTAGGAACACAACTCTCAGAATAGAACTACATGAGAAATCTGGGCAGCTGCTTCTCTCAGCACATCTGGAAGGAAGGTCTGGGAAGGCTCTCCTAGCCATCTTAAGACTTCTTTTAATTCTTGGTCTGTTTTGTCAGCCAGGATCCAGCATCGCTTTCCCGCTTTACCATCTCAGACCTTCTCCCCGACCTTCAGCACGTGGTCTTCTGGATGTCCAACTCCATCGAAATCCTGTACTTCATTCAGCAGAAATCCCCCGTTTACATCCAGAACATGGAAGAAGAGCTGGACATCAAAGGTAAATGGGTGGGAATGATGTCCATTCCTAGAGTTGAGGTGTCAATAAGAGCTTCCTTGAAATGTTGATTTGTTGGAACGTCAAGTAGAACATGACTTTCACCCAGTGCCATTTCTCGGGGTTGGGAAAGCTGGTGGCCCTCCAAATATTTCTGAACCCCACTTCCTTAGCTTCAAGGACCACGGGTGAGTGATATTGGAGATACTTTGTCTCTCTTTGTCTTTCTGTTCTGATTTAGGCTTCCTTAGAAAGTATACAGCACAATCTTAGTCCCGGCAAAACTCTTTATTATTTATTTTTTTTAATTATTATTAATTTGATTTATATGCCGCCCTTCTCCGAAGACTCAGGGTGGCTTACAATGTGCTCAGCAATAGCCTTCATCCTTTTGTATATTTATACAAAGTCAGCTTATTGCCCCCACAAACTGGGTCCTCAATTTACCTACCTTAGAAAGGATGGAAGGCTGAGTCGACCTTGAGCCTGGCGAGATTCGAACCCTGCAGTAATTGCAGGCAGCTGGTCTTAATAACCAGCTTAATAACAGGGTGCCTTAAACCCCTGTACTACCAAGGCTCTTACATAATATCTTTAATACATATGGCTGTGAATTATTGTCATTCCCAGTCCGAAAGGCTTCTCAAACAGTCTTTCAAGGGAGTGTTTACAAACACCAACCTTATCTCCCTTGGAATGCTGCCAGAGAACTAATTGCCACACGCAAGGCAAGGCCAAACTTAGCACAGAGTCAAACAGAGCTTTTCCAAAGCTTTTACCGACCAGATGAACTAAATTGCTTCCTGCAAAAGCTCACCTCCCGTTCGCTTCTCTTTTATGTCTTATGGGAGGGGCCAATCATCTCCAAGCCTTACTCCCAAGTCGACCCCATTTTCTTAATTGCTACTGTCTTCTGGCAGCTCTGCGCATGCACACGCTGGGAACAGGCTGACACTGTTCTTCTGCCTCGCTCTTGTCAGACTCTGGAGACTCCGGAGGCAGCAAAGAACTACCAGATGGCTTTGGCCCCCTCTCTGCCTCCGACTCAGAGCCCTCGTCCGAGCCTTCCCCAGACTCCAGGACTGGCCCACGTTCCTCCCCAACCTCCTCACTGTCTGACTGCTGCCAGCTCTGCTGGCCGCTGGCGGGCCACAACAGTTCCGTTAATTGCAACCCACCTGGAGATCTCTTGTGATTAAACAGAGCTGGGCAAAATGGTTGAGGATCACACTCTCTGCCGTCCAAGCAACAACTTTATGGGCCACCAGCTGGACCACGAAAGGTCCTACAAGGCAAACCCGTCCATCTTTTTCTCCTTTGTGGATGTCCAGCCAAAGAGAAATCCCTCCTCGGTTGAACAGAACTATTTCCCAGGAAAGCTTGAAAGTTGGATGAAAACTGGCCAATTCCTCAGCTGGTTGACCTTGAGTAACCTTTCCTGCTTCCCCTTCTCTCCCCCCTCCTCGCCCGGCTTCATCCCAAAGGGAAAAAGAGAGCAAAGAAACCATGTTCTGGGATGCCTTCCATGTTTTTCGTCCTATCTCAGTTCCCATGCTGATAGCACAGCGACGAAGGTCAAGGGAAGAGAGTGAAATCCCACTGAAAATTCAGCTCCAATCAGTGGATTCAATCCAATCCCTCTCCATCCTCCCCCAAAAGTAGAAAGCTAGCATGTCAGGAGGAAGAAAACATATAAACATGGATTTCTGAGTTGAGCCGGACTGATCCAGAAAGCCAGTGCTTTCCGAAATCTCTACATAAGGGATTGTGTCTTTCCTCTTTTCCAGGATCTAAGGAATCCCTCTTCTCCTTGACCATCACAGCCAGTGAGGAAGCCATGACGGTTCTGGAGGAAGTCATCATGTATACGTTTCAGCAATGTGTTTACTACATCTCCAAGGTATGTCAACCCTTCGAAAGTTAGCACCCTCCCCTCTCCTAGGAGAATGAAATATTCTAGGAAATATTAAAAAGGCAGTATATTATATTTTTGTAATTTATATATAAAGTATATACCATGTTTCCCCGAAAATAAGCCCTCCCTGAAAATAAGCCCTCCCTGAAAATATTTAAACGCATGAGCACCCAGTCTGGTTAGGATTAGGGAGACAGAGCTGGAAATCAGGTAAGATGGCAAGGGAAGCCCCATCTTGCTCCATGCGCTCCAAAATAATAAGACCTCCCCGATAAAAAGGCTAAGTGCTTATTTCGGAGATCAAAAAAATATAAGACAGGGTCTTATTTTCAGGGAAACACTGCATTATATAAATATAATTTATATATTATAATATATTACATTATAGAGGGATGCGGAGGCTCAGTGGCTAAGACGCTGAGCTTGTCGATCAGAAGGTTGGCAGTTCAGCGGTTCGAATCCCTAGCGCCGCGTAACCGGGTGAGCTCCCGTTCCTTGTCCCAGCTTCTGCCAACCTAGCAGTTCGAAAGCACGTAAAAAATGCAAGTAGAAAAACAGGGACCACCTTTGGTGGGAAGGTAACAGTGTTCCGTGTGCCTTTGGCATTGAGTCATGCCGGCCACATGACCACGGAGATGTCTTCGGACAAAGCTGACTCTCTGGCTTTGAAATGGAGATGAGCACCACCCCTTAGAGTCGGGAACGACTAGCACATACCGTGTTTCCCCGAAAATAAGACCCTGTCTTATATTTTTTTGAACGCCAAAATAAGTGCTTGGCCTTGTTTTCGGGGAGGTCTTATTATTTTGGGGCACGTGGAGGAAACCAGAGGAAATGGCGGGGACCGGCTGTGGATGCAGTTAAATATTTTGGGGGAGGGCTTATTTTCGGGGGGGGGCTTATTTTAGCACATGTGCTCAAAAGCCCAATTGGGCTTATTATCAGGGAATATCTTATTTTGGGGGAAACAGGATATATGCAAGGGGAACCTTTACCTTTTATATTATATTGCCCTGGATGAGAAATGTCACTGAATCCTCCTTCCGAGCTAAATAGTTAGCTAAAACAGGAAGGGGAGAAGAAACCAAGTCCATGTTTGAGACTAGCTTTCTCCCTCTAAGTGTGTGTCAGCTGGAGGAATTGTGGTCCAAGGACTTCTGAAGAATCAATGGTGGCCCACTTCTGCCATAGATAAGTGAATTAGATCCCAGGTCTTGGCGTAAAATGATACGGACTGAAAAACGTAGGAATTTTGCTGGTTGATCTCGACTATCCTTAGAAAAATTTCAGTTGGGCTGGACATGGATGGTGGACTTCAGGAGTTTTCACTATTGCAGCTTAAACGAGGAAGCCAAAAAAAACTTGCAGGAGTGGGCCAGCGATGTTCTCCAGATGTTCCTGCATCACAATTTCCACCAGCCACAGACAGCCACAAATAAGAATCCGAGGCTGGGCCCGTCATTGCTCCTGGCTCAGCACAACGCCATGACTATTCCTTCAAAAGCTTCAGGAGAAAGAAAACATGTGACAGAAGAACTGGATTCTTCAAGGAATATTATGAATTTGTGGCTCTCTTCCTGTGGCCCGTCCTGTGTTTTTAAGACTAATAGGCAGAGGTGGGGCTGCTGGGGATTCGCAGGGGTTCGTGAGAACCTCTAGCTGTGCAGTTCGGAGAACCCCCAAAGCCCACTCATGGCTGGCCCTGCCCTCCCCACCCCTCCCCTCTCAGGAGTCCCCATGCAGCCCATTTTGGATGCAGGTAAGTGCAGGGCGCACACGGAAGCTCGGGGAGGACGAAAAACGGGCCTACCGGAAGTTCGGGAGGGCCTCCAGAGCCTGGGGAGGCTGTTTTTGTCCTCCTGGAGGCTCAAGGAAAGTCTCTGGAGCCCGGGGAGGGCAAATCCCCCCCAGCTGTGGTGCAGGACGCAGAGTAGGCCACGCCCACCATGGCCACACCCTCCCAGCAACCGGGCAGAGAATCCCTTGCTAAAATTTTTGAAGCCCACCCCTGCTAATAGGGCATGAGAGGAAACCATATTGTGGCCAAGAATAGAATAGAATAGAATAGAATTTTTATTGGCCAAGTGTGATTGGACACACAAGGAATTTGTCTTTGGTGCATACGCTCTCAGTGTACATAAAAGAAAAGATACATTCATCAAGAATCGTAAGGTACAACACTTAATGATAGTCATAGGGTACAAATAAGAATAGAGAGGAGAGAAGGAGGTAATGATGTGTTGGGTTGGGTTGGGTAGGGTAGGGTTGGGTAGGGTAGGGTAGGGTAGAATAGAATAGAATAGAATAGAATAGAATAGAATAGAATAGAATAGAATAGAATAGAATAGAATAGAATAGAATAGAATAGAATAGAATAGAATTCTTTATTGGCCAAGTGTGATTGGACACACAAGGAATTTGTCTTTGGTGCATACGCTCTCAGTGTACATAAAAAGAGAAGATACATTCATCAAGAATCATAAGGTACAACACTTAATGATAGTCATAGGGTACAAATAAGCAATCAGGAAACAATATCAATGTAAATCTTAAGGATACCAGCAACAAGGTTACAGTCATACAGTCATAAGTGGGAGGAGATGGGTGATGGGAACAATGAGAAGATGAGATGAGATGAGAAAACAGCACCTCTGCGTCCATTTGGTCACCCCAAATCCCGCTCGGCTTGAAGGAGAGTCTTTGTTTTAAGAAGCCAAGAGGTGTTTTTTTTTTGCACAGGTGTGATGAGACTCTGCTTTCATGAATGGCTGAAATGGGCAAAGATCTCCTCGCCCACTTCCTGGTTCCTCAACGGTCCAGGAGGGGAGCGTCCCCTTGGAGCAAGGGTCTCCAACCTTGGCAACTTTAAGACTTGTGGACTTCAACTCCCAGAGTTCCTCAGCCAGGAACTCTGAGAGTTGAAGTCCACAAGTCTTAAAGTTGCCAAGGTTGGAGACCCCTGCCTTGGAGAACAGAGTTGTTGGGAAAAGGGACTTATTGTAAACCAGAAGGAAAGAAGGGAGGGAGAAAGACCAAGGACTCGGTGAAAGGAGAAACATCTGGGAAGCTTTCCAAGTTGGGGGAGGCTCCCGTCTTGCCCCATGGCTGGGAGTCCATCCCTGAAATGGTTGAGTTCCTTCTCCGTGGTGGGGTGGGGGGTGGGGGCAGGACGTCACCCTGTCCTTCAGACAGAAGCCTCCTTTCTTCCCCCTTGCACACAGCCTGCTCTGTTTGGGGATTCTTCCTCCCCCTCTTTTTGAGGGAGGCCGGAGATTCCTTCTGCTGCTGGTGGGGCGGGGAGAAGGGGCAGAGTTGAGAGCACATTCTGATGCGCTGGAGAGGGCCTCCGTCCAACCAGAATTTTTGCCGCATAGCAGAAATGCAAAGCGGGAGAGAGAGGGGGGGGGGGACAGAGAAAGGCGCCTCTCCGAGGAATTTGCAATCCAGATGTTAAGTCGGGGCAGAGAGAGCAGAAGAGAGAAGCCAATTGCTGCCCTAAAACAACAACAACATAATAATTATAATGCATAAGAGCACCAGCGTGCTTACCGTCCCTGTCCTAATGTTCCCTTTTATTCATTTTATGTATTCAATTCACGCTTATACTTCTATATGTTATCTAATACGTACTCGACAAATAAATAAAAATAATAATAAATAAATAAACACCCTTAAATGTATTTTTGCTCCTTGCAGAAACAAATAAGATCAGGAGACTGGTGGGGGGGGTGACTTTGAGCCTAGGCAAGACCCTGATGGGCAACTGAGTTGCTGCCCACCTGGAGCACAGGAAGGGCGTCTCCTCGGGGTCCACCTTGGCATCTACCTGAGCTGCTCTGTTGATCAGAATAGAGCTGGAAGGGATCTTGGAGGTCTTCTAGTCCAATCTCTTGCTTAAGCAGGAGAGCCCATACCATTTCAGACAAGTGACTGTCCAGTCTCTTCTTCTTAAAAAAACTCCAGTGATGAAGCACCCACAACTTCTGGTGGCAAGCTGTTCCACGGGTTAATTGTCTTCATTGTTAGGAAGTTTCTCCTTAATCCCAGGTTGCTTCTCTCCTTGATCAGTTTCCACCCATTGCTTCTTGTCCTGCCTTCTGGTGCTTTGGAGAATAGCTTGACTCCCTCTTCTTTGTGGCAATCCCTCAGATACTGCTATCATGTCTCCTCTAGTCCTTCCTTTCTCTAGACTAGCCATACCCAGAAAAATACGGCATCCTTCACTTCATCCTCCAAGGAAAGATTGAAGGCAAAGGAGGTCCAGGCAGAAGAAGAACATCATGGCTTCAAAATCTAAGGGACCGGTTTGGACAAAACTCAACAGCACTTTTTCATACGCTTGTTGACAAAAATAGGATTGCCAACATGATCGCCAATGTACAATGGTGGACATGGCACAACAAGAAGAAGAAGCCATACCCAATTCCTGCAACCGTTCTTCATATGTTTAGTCTCCTGATCTAATTCAACGCCTCCTGTTTCTCGTTTTCTTCTTCTTCTCTCTGTCCTTCTTTCGCAGTCTCTCTATGTGGCTCTTCCCCCGTTGTTGGAGTGCAACCCCTTCCAAAGCGAAGGCCGGGACGGTTGGCTGTCCTCGCCCCCGTTGCCCGAAGAAATCCACAAAGTGGTGTTGATTTACCAAGCCGCCCTGGACCTTCTCCATCAGTACGATGTCCACCCTGAAGTCACCTCCCAGATGTTCGCCTACCTCTTCTTCTTCTCCAACACCCTCCTCTTCAACCAGCTCATGGAAAAAGGTGAGTGGCTGTCCACCAAGGCAGGGGTTCATCCTGGCACGGGGAACTCATAAAACCATGGGGCACTGCCTGTCTCCCAGCGACCTCCAACGAAAGGTCTCTCTTCCCTTCTGAGCTGATCTCTAGAAATACGTCAGCCGGATGTGGATGATCCATTCCTGTTCTTACTCTCTCGTGTCCAGGTTCTTCTCTGGGCTGTTTCCACTGGTCAAAAGGGGTCAGGATACGGGCCACCCTGCGTCTCCTTATGGAGTGGGCCCAGAGCGTGGGTCTGGGGCCGCTAGCAGACCAGTTCTTCAGCAAACTCTCCAGCATGGCCAGCCTGTTGGCAATGCCAAATTCTCAGCTGCTGCAGGTGAGTCTGTCGAAGGCACCCAGGGTGAGTTTTGCTTGGCTGACCTTGAAAGCGTGGATCAGCTCATGACCGGGAATGGCTGCTGAAGATAAGATAAGCCTGACTTGGTGGCTCAGTGGCTAAGACACTCAGCTTGTCGATCAGAAAGGTTGGCAGTTCGGCAGTTCAAATCCCTAGTACAGGTCTCCTGCGTGAGCAGGGGGTTGGACTAGATGACCTCCAAGGTCCCTTCCGACTCTGTGACTGTTATTATTAAGATAGCGGAGGGCCACCGTAGACATCCAGAAGTTCTAGAATGAGGAAGGTTTGGCCAGGCTGTTCTTCCTAGCCCAGCTCCTTCGACATAAGGCAGCATTGGATTCTGGCACTCTTCCATTGAGGCCAACCAGAATTCATGGTTTGGTCAAGATGAGTCATGGATAGAATTTCAGGTGCTATCGCTCAATGCATCGCCACACACCCAAAGAGGAAGGCCCAAAAGAGACACTGTCCTGGCATTTCCAGGACTTGAGATAGCTCCTCCAAATCATCTTCCATTTTGAACTCAAGGAAGGTCTGCCACACCACCAGAATGTCCTAAACTGATTTTTCAACAATACACAACTGTGTTTGAGGCTCAAATTTTGGGTTCCCCGTGCGCAGTTCTCTATACATTCAGGAAGAAATGTGGAAATTGAGGAAATAATGTTCAAATTATAATCCTTAAAAGGTAAATGTTCCCCTCGCACCTATGTGCTAGTCGTCCCTGACTCTAGGGGGCGGTGCCCATCTCCGTTTCAAAGCCGAAGAGCCAACCCTGTCCGAAGATGTCTCCGTGGTCATGTGGCCGGCATGACTCAACGCCAAAGGCGCACAGAACACTGTTCCCTTCCCACCAAAGGTGGTCCCACTTTTTCTCCTTGCATTTTTTACCTGCTTTCGAACTGCTAGGTTGGCAGAAGCTGGGACAAGTCACGGGAGCTCATCCCGTCACGCGGCACTCGGGATTCAAACCACTGAACTCCCAACCTTTCGATCGACAAGCTCAGCGTCTGAGCCACTGAGTATTTTTGCATCATTTTTTTTGAGTCTTTGTTTTATTCACGCTGAAATATTTTTAAAGCAGATTTTCAATTCCTGCATTTATTGTGGTCGGAAACAGGGCTTTCCAGAAAGTTTTTCCAAACTTTCCAAATCTTAAAATCAGCCCAACTGACATAACTTAGAAATAAACAGAGTTTTAAAAAAAGAGAGCTTACTTGAGGCTTCGTTACTTCGTTCAGATGACCTGGCCTGTCTTGAGAAGTGAGTTTCCTGCCTTGAACTCAGCACAGCTCAATCATATCTTGACCCAGTACCAGACTTCGTCTGCCATGGGGTGCGTCCCGGCTTGGCAACCCAGCAACAATGATGCTCTTGCAGCTGTGAGGACAGGTGAGGCTTCTGAGCTATCATTGCACTCAACAATGGACTAAAGGGCCACCATCAGTGAGCTGTTGGACAGCATTACTTGGTTTGTTGTGTGGATGTTTGGGTGGTTTAGGGGTGGGGAATTGTGCTGAGTGGGAGTGTGTTTGGGGATTGTTGTGTGTGTTGGATCTGGTCTTTGGGTGTTAAGTGAATTTCGTTGTATGTGTATACTGTGTATACACGTACAATGACAATAAAGTTATTATTATTATTATTCTGATGTTATACAGCTGGACTGGTTGACCTCGAAAACCTCAAGCTGGGACAAAGGTGTTTTTTCAAGAGGCCACTGGATTTCCTGGTTTTTCTTTGAAGATGTTTCGCTTCTCATCCAAGAAGCTTCTTCAGCTCCGAGTTGAAGAAGCTGAAGAAGCTTCTTGGGTGAGAAGCGAAAGGTCTTCAAAGAAAAAAAAAAGCAAGGAAGTCCAGTGGCCTCTTGAAAAAGCACCTTTGGGACAACCATGACCTGGAGGACTTGAGGATCTCCATAGACATAAAGATGAGAGATTTAAAAAAAACAAACAAAAAACGGATGGATGGAGAGAGATGAAAGAGACAATGGATGGTTGGATAGATGGAGATGAAAAAAAGAAGATGGAAATGAGAAATGAAAGAAGGATGGATGGAATGAAAGAGAAAGATGTAATAGAAAAAGATAGATAGATAGATAGAAGATAGATAGATAGATAGATAGATAGATAGATGATATAGATGATAGATGATATAGATAGATGATAGATAGATGATATAGATGATATAGGTAGATGATATAGATGATAGATGATATAGATAGATGATATAGATAGATAGATAGATGATATAGATGATAGATAGATAGATAGATAGATAGATAGATAGATAGATAGATAGATAGATAGATAGATAGATGCAAGAACATTTCTGTCACTGCCCTGATTGGTCCATGTCAAGTCCAGTTGCCTCTTGAAAATGCACTTTTGGGACAACCATGACCTGGATGACTGAGAATCTGGACGCCTGTTTCCGGCATTCCCGAACTTCCGGTAGTCCCGTTTTTCACCCTCCCTGAGCCTCTGTGCATGCCCTGCACTTACCTGCATCCAAAACGGGCCGTGTGGGGACTCCTGGGAGGGGTGGGATGGGGAGGGCGGGGCCAGCCAGGAGTGGGATTTGGGGGTTCTCCGAACTGCACAGAATCTTAGCTAGAGGTTCTCCCGAACCCCTGCGAACCCCCAGCAGCCCCACCCCTGATTGTACCCCACATAATCTACGAAGAATGTGGATTTAAGCACAGATTGAAACAAAATGGTCGGATGGGGCTGTCTTTTGCAGATGATGTTCTGGAATCTTTTGATAACCATCCCCCCATCATGCTGCCCACCGGAGGGTTCAAGGTGGACCTGGAGACCGATCATCTTGATGACAACGTCTACCGGCATCTTCTGTACATCCGCCATTTCCTGTGGAGCCTACGCAGCAAAAGTCCCCACTCCAGTGACTCTCTGGAAGCAGAAACCCCAAAGGTAACCCCTCCGCCCCCCACATCCCTTAAACATTATGCATTTCAAAGGTGCTGGCTTGGTTTGTTTGCATACCTCACCATATTTTTCTTTTGTTTTCCTACTTTCTTCTTCAAGACTGAGACAATCAGCTGCCAAGTGACACCCCCAGCGGAGTCTGAGACAATCATTGGGTCAGTCGAGAGTGCCTTTGACTGGACAAATGGCAGGCGGACGATGAACGGTGAGAAGCCAAAGATGGAGGAGAACGGCTCCCAGGTCACTGGTACCAACCTACCCATCTCAGATTATGGGACTTGTGAGACACAGCTACCCAACATTCTCCAACAGCAACAACTTGAGAGGCCAAAGGGGAAGAATGGGACCAAGGCAATCACGGTGTCCGTGGACTCCTCATGTTTACTGACTCCGCCTAACACGCCTCTGATCTTTGACTCCATCGGCCTGGAATTGTCCCCAGAAACTACTCCTGGGAAGGACATCCCAGAGTCTCGGAGAAACGGACTCAACGGGACCAAAACCACAACCCAGGAAGGTATGAAAGACGATTAATCAGGGTTGGATCAGTGGTGAAATCCAATTTTTTTTACTAGCGGTTCTGTGGGCGTGGCTTGGTGGGCGTGGTGTAGCTTGGTGGGCGTGGCAGGGGAAGGGTACTGCAAAATCTCCATTTCCATGCAAAATTGCTGCTCCTTTCCAAATGATAAAGAGAAATATATATAGTTTTAATACACTTGGATTCTCCAAATACAATAATCACCTCAGCTTTATTCCACGTTGGGATTAAAGAAATACACTTTTCCGCTGAAAAGGCAACAGATACAGATTCCAACAGGTGAGTGAAGGCCAGGCAGATCTCCTTCTCCTGAGCATCGGCCTCAGAGTTGAGATGAAAAGTTCTCCATTGTCATTTTCAGGGGCCACCAGCCCAACCCAGTTCCACTGGAAATGCAGGAGCAGCCGGACTAAACCCTCATACTGAGGAAGTTCATTGGGGCTGATCCGGAAAAAGGAAGGAAACACAGTTCTGTCTTCCTGAGTGAACTTGAGGAAGTGGAAACCTAGCTGCAGAAAAGGAGAGTTGTCACAGTTTTTTATGACGTTATTATATCCTCCTGTTAATACTCAGTATTAGTAGCTTTCTGCTCTGCTTGTTCAATTGATTCACTTTGAATGGAGTGAAAGGCTCCCAGTTACAATTACAAATTTGGATTTCAACAGGTGTGTGAAGATCATGCAGCTCAATGCTTTTTCTTTGCTATGTATAAAAAAAGATTGGTTTATTCTACAAGTGTAAAAGATAAAGGAAAAGGTTCCCCTTGCACATATGCAAGTCGTTCCTGACTCTAGGGGGCAGTGCTCATCTCCGTTTCAAAGCTGAAGAATCAGCACAGTCCGAAGATGTCTTCATGGTCATGTGGTCGGCATGACTCAATGCCAAAGGCGCACAGAAAGCTGTTCCCTTCCCACCAAAGGTGGTCCCTATTTTTCTACTTGCATTTTTTACATGCTTTCGAACTGCTAGGTTGGCAGAAGCTGGGAGCTCACCCTGTTATGTGGCACTAGGGATTCGAACTGCTGAACTGCTGACCTTTCGATCGACAAGCTCAGCGTCTTAGCCACTGAGCCACCTCTCCCTTTTCTAGAAGTGTACTTTTCACTAATAAGTATAGTTTTTTATTTTTATCTATCTCGTCACTTTAACTGAGCTCAGTTTCCCTGTGACCAGATGGCTGTAGCTAAACTGCATCTTTGGATGTCAGGTCTGCCATCTTTGGCCTGGCGCCTCACTGGCATCCTGTCATCAATGGCTGTGGGGTAGAGTGGTGGGCATGGGGAAGCAAATGGGCAATAAACTCCTGTGAGTAATTGATGAGAAATAGGGAGCGGGGGAATGACAGCTTGACGAAGAACAGAGAAGCTCAGAACCAGTTTGTGCCAGCCCTCAGGGACATGCACCCTGAGAAAGAATGTGAATTACCCCAAACAACTCAGCGCTCGCAAATCACCTAGGTGAACCTTCATTGGCCGAAGACAAACTGGTCATGGAGGGAGGGCAGGGACGAGGTCCTGATTTTCCTCAAGTAACTTTGGCTTCATTTTTGACTTCTGTGTGTGCTTATGCTTTGTGCTTGCTCTATACTGGTACCCTACATGACCCCTTTACCTGTGTGACCTTGAAGATGCTGAAGATGGAGGCCATCTGCCTTGAGTATTGGGAGTTGACATCTCCAACAACAGAGAGCAATGTATCCTGCTTGTCACATTTGTAAGCTGGAACCATTCGGCGTCGTGTGGACAGAAGAGAGAGGCTGTTCCAGGAAATCCTCCTAACAGTCTCCTTATTGTCATAAATATGGAGGCCGAGTGTGATGTTGGGAAGCAGAACCAAATCCTTGTTGATTTTTGTGGCTGCATGTACCAAGGCCAGAATTAGCGGATAATTCTTGAATTCAATGCTGTAATGAGAAAACATTAGGAAATATTAGAGAGAACATTTTGGGTGCTAAGGGAGGTTGCCTTTCCTTAAGTGTGTTTGTAGGTGTGCTCTCCCAGACTTTGAGGTGGTGAATATATTTGTTGTGTGTCCTTGGACAAGAAAATGTGATTAAGAAGATTGTGTGGATGGACCTTCCTCGTGAAACCCTGGTCCATGTAGAGAGCGGCTGAGTCGTTTACAGATTTACAATCCTAAACAGCCATGACTCATCCACATGAGAAATATCTTTAATAGATTTGGCTGTTAGATTATCCCTTTAAAGAGTACCATATTTTTTTGAGTATAAGACGCTCCAGAGTATAAGACACACCTTATTTTGGGGGGGAGGAAAATAAGGAAAAAAATTCTGTTTGAGAGGCTGCGTTTGCAGCATCCAAAAGCACCAAAAGCTTTGTTTGAGAGGATGTGTGGAGGCCAAAGGGTGGGGGCTGGTGGTTGTGTGGGGCTACATTGAGTGTATAAGACACACCCAAATATTCATCCTCTTTTAGGGGGGAAAAGTGTGTCTTATACGGTATTTCAGCTCTGGGAACCACTCTGTTCATAATACTCAACTGAAGGCAACAAGATTGATTAGCTATCCACTGTAACTAGATTTGCCTTTTCTTTGAGTTTTCCAGCATGATTTTTTTCTCCAAATAAATAATAGAAATGGCCTTTCTCACTAAGCCAGCACAGTTTCTGACACATATACCCTTCCTCACTTATTGTGCTGTTTATCATCCTCCTGAAGAAACTGGAACATTCTACCCTATATTTTATAAGAAGGTTTCTTTATCCAGGAAAGCACCAAGGCTTCTAAACTGCAACAGAACCTGAAAACATCAGTAGAATAATAATTTATGTTTTTAAATTACATTCTCCTCAGACAGGGTCTCATCACTTTTCCATTGTTGCGCAAATACAATTCTGGCTGCTGTTAATATATGCAAAATCAAATATGCAGTCTTTTTATCATATTTTGCTGGTAGAAGGCCCAGCAAAAATATCTCTGGTTTCAGATTAATATGTAGTTTTATCATTTTTTTCCAGCCATGTCTGTATTTTTATCCAATATTTTCTAGCTCTTGGGCATGAACACCACATGTGATATTATTAGATTGTGCAGAAATGGATAGATTAACACTTGCTATTAAGGATAAAGAAGAAACAGAATATTTTTTGATATGGGACACATTTTATCAATGGCTCGATAATAGAAACAGAGGTTAGAAAGGAAGAGATATAAAGGGAAGAAATGGTACAAAGGAGTCGTTAAAAAAGAATATGATGTTAAATGTTAAATATTAAGGTTATTATATCCTTATGTTATATTTTTAATATGATGGTGATGACTAAATATAATGAAGATGTATAAATATGACTATCAAAATATAACTGTACCCAGAATACACACTTTTTGATGAAAATTGAGTGTTATATAAATAAAAAAAATAAAATATGGGGGGGGAAAGAATATTAATTTATGAAAGTTGTCTCCTGAATCCCCAAATGCAGAAACTCTTCGAATATACTCCCTTCTGAGTAAAACATACCTTTTTGTAATTCCTGTCTTTGATGGCTGATGGTGAAACTCTATCATTTCAAAGAGAGCAAACTTTTCCAGGAGCAAATTCCCCCCAATAATGAGATCTCCAGGCTTGTAATAGTCCTCCACAGTTCGCAGAGGGTTCCTCGCTACACATACAGTTTGCATAATCTTATGAGCTGTTGAAGACAGTAGCCAAAAGAGAAAGAGCAGGATAGCCAGCCCATTCATATTTCTGACTTCCTTCTTAGACCATAAATCAAAGTTTGTTGAGAAGCTCCCAGTTCTTCTTGGGAGAGCTCAGACTTTATTTCATTTAGACAGGTTTTGCCTTGGAAGACTTTTGTGGGTAAAAATCTGTGGGGGATACATTATGAATTACTGTACTTCTGATAATTGCAAGGAAGACTAACATCCTACCCACTTAGCAATAGCTTTCCTACATGTACCAGAAGGGGAAAAACATGTTGGTGGTCTCTTGTTCTTCAAGCAGATGGAATTGAGGGTCACGGTCCAGGTGGGATTTGGCCTACCTGAAACCCCTGAGCAACTGCACCCAAGATGGAGTGTGGCCTATGCCTGATTTTTTTTTTTCATATAGGGCTAAGCATAGTGATGAGTTGTAGCCTTCTAAACTGATCAATAATGCAGGTGTTTGTAGAAGAAGGGTTTTATTGATTCTTTCATGGTTAGGGATGATATAGAAGCTCATTTCTCTTATACATCTTACAAATAGTGAATGGGGTATTCACAATATAAGGCTAATTTAAACTCTGCACCGGAAGTGTCTGTGGAGATTCTCAATCATCCAGGTCATGGTTGTCCCAAAGGTGCTTTTTCAGGAGGCAACTGGACTTTCTTGTTTTTCTTTGAAGATGTTTCACTTCATTGGAAGAGCTTCATGACCAGACCGGTTTAGCTATACAATTTGGGATGAACACCCTTGGAATGGTGTGGGAATAAGGAATGGATTTCCAGAGGAAAAAATTGCAGACTGCAGGAACCAGGAGCACCACTCAGGTGACACAGATAAACCTTCAAGTGCTTCAATGACCCTTTAAAAGGATGCAAATAATCAGCTGTCTGAAAGGAATATAAATCCTTCCATTCCCCACTATCCTGTCAGGGCTGAAGAAGCTTCTTGGAGGAGAAGCGACAAGTTTTCAAAAGAAAGAAGAAGAAAGTCCAGTTGCCTCCTGAAAAAACACCTTTGGGACAACTATGACCTGGATGACTGAGAATCTCTACAGACTATAGGTCTATCACTTTCCTGAGAGACCAATAGTGCTGATAGAAAAGGCACACCTTCAAAAATAAAAAATTAAACCCTAACCTTCACACTCCACTCCTTCAGGAAATGATTGATAAAAAGTTTTTGTCAGCGTTGCAATGCTGGCATAGAGAGGGAGCAGAGGAGAGCGAAAGATAAACTCTGAAACTTTTGCCTGATAAATCCCTCTGAAGCCTGGTTGTCGTGGAGAGAGGGGAGGGGGCACATTCCTGGGAAATGACGAGGAAAAGAAGTCTGAAGAATGACTT